ACCGTGGTATTTGTGACATAGAAGTGACAGCCATTGAATCTAGTTACTCCTGCAACAGTCGGTGTCTTTTGAGAACAGTTACGTTTGGCACACATACATGTAGGGGACTTAACTGTCAACACAGTTTTATCTAATATCCTTGAGTCATGGCCCTTGACATTCGCGAGTTATTTATTATCGGCGGCGACACAGATTTTTCATACTGTAGTTGTACAACGTCGGCTCTGTGACTAAGTCGATACGAACGCTTCGCTTCGTAATGCCGGGATGCCAGGTTCGATACCAGCTGCGGGCAATGCGCCCTGCGTTGGTTTCGGCAGTGGTATCAAGAAAGCCGACCGTCCAGAGGCAATGGCAAACTACTGGACGTAATTTGCCTAGAGAAACCACACAACAGCCAGGGGCTGTTAGGGTTGGTTCTGCAAGGTCCTGTAAAGGATACGCAACTAAGTTAGTTGTACAACAATGTGGCTGCTATCGGGAATACGTATGTAAAGTAATATCATGAATACAAGTCTGCACAGATGGTTTTGTTGATTTATGTAATGTGCTGATGAAGGTTCTGTAGCCGCAAAGTTCACTTCTCGTGCGTGTTTGTTGTATTGTAAAGCTCACTGGTTTGTTTTTCTCGTTGTTTTATATCTTTTTATCTCAGAATGATGTACTAAAGTCTGCCCGCATGATAGCTTGCTACTCCGCTTATGTCAGAATTGTGTGTCAGTTCTCATGAAGAGCTTGTAACTTAACTGGTAACAGACTGGGCTACTTATTTCCATGATAACATGATTTAGTGAATATATTTAAATGAACATCTTCCACAGCATTGCTTGAGTACCAGCTGAGAGTCTTAGAGGGCAAAGTCACTCTACTCATAGAGAACAACCGAGCACTGCAGAGCTCGCTAGAACACGTTGTTCAAAGATTGGACTTACTGGAGCCCCAGGTGAATTCATCCTTGAACAAACCACAGGTGAGGGTTTCATAGTTCTTCATGCTGTTAGTGTGATCATACGCCATGTTGTCGCTGGGACAGACCACTTTGTTGTGTGTGCCTCTGCTGTCTCGTAGGTGCTCCGAAATTTGTTTCGTTAAAAAAACAATATCTAGGAATAAAGTCAAGAATAGAACATACACTGATAGCTATAAGCTATGTCTGTAAGGCTGATTAGATTTTACAGATTTAGATAACTTTTAACGCCTGAAACATGTTGATAATTTTCATGGTAGCATGTTATTTCATTGCAATTGAAGATATTTCTCATTGTTCTGTATAGCAACAAGTTATATTTTTTTCAGTGTTTGATAGAGTGTTCTAAATAGACGTTTATATATATATATATATATATATATATATATATATATATATATATATATATATATATATATATATATATATATATATATACTGTTATATTTGTCCAGACTGTTTATTTGCTACATTGTCAGTACAGATGGGTAGTGCCAGCATGTCGTAGTCAGCTCATACGGTAAGTATATACCATTATGTCTCTCACAGTAACAACACGTCATTGTGTCTCATGTCTCTCACGGTAACCATACGTCATTATGTCCCATCCCTCTCACGGTAACCATACGCCATTATGTCCCTCGTCTCTCACAGTAACCATACGTCATTATGTCCCATCCCTCTCACGGTAACCATACGTCATTATGGCCCATCCCTCTCACAGTAACCATACGCCGTTATGTCCCATTCCTCTCACAGTAACCATACGTCATTATGTCTCATCCCTCTCACAGTAACCATACATCATTATGTCCCATCCCTCTCACAGTAACCATACGTCATTATGTCCTATTCCTCTCACAGTAACCATACGTCATTATGTCTCATCCCTCTCACAGTAACCATACATCATTATGTCCCATCCCTCTCACAGTAACCATACGTCATTATGTCCCATCCCTCTCACAGTAACCATACGTCATTATGTCCTATTCCTCTCACAGTAACCATACGTCATTACGCCCCTCCATTGACCATTGAAAAATTAAAAAAATATAAAAAACTTAGACAGCTTCAACCTGCCTCAGGGGCTTGGTTTTATTTGTGTCCTGGTTTCTTTGCTGTGTTAAGTTTTGGTCCTTTTGGTGTTAGGTTGTATCCTGTTTATTTGTGTGCCTGTCTTCTTTCGGTCGGTGCCTTTAGGTTTTTGAGAATCTTCCTGGTTTAAGCTGTTTTGCCTGCTAGCGATCACTGACTGTGCCTGGGCTGTCACCTTCCACACCACCTCGAAATCGATAAGTCCGCCACCTTGCGGGCCCTAAAACACGGCCCTTTTCAGGGACCCCACTTAACCGAGCATTTCTGTTTTGGCCTTTTTTTTTTTTTTTAAAATCGTGGGTGTTCAGTGTAGTGTTTGCGTGCTTTGCTTTGTGGATATTTGTGTACGTGTGTTTTAACAAATGTTGCCGTTTATTTGTATTGTGTGTGTTTTGCAAACAAAAAGGATACATGTGACATGTGCATGGCATGAATACATACAATTTCAGGAAAGAGAAGGATGCAGTGGAGAAATGGAGAGGAGGCCAAGAAGGTGCTACGTGGAATGTAAGCTTTTTAGGAAATAAAGTAAGGTCGAAGGAGTGAGTGGAATTGATAGCTTGCTAGGATGAGAGAGAGAAGTCAGCCGGGCTGGTCTTGCAGGTCCGGCGTCGGTTTGGTGTAGCGGCGTCGGTTTGCACAGTTTTCTGCGTGTGGCTCAGTGCAGTTTTATAAATAGGTGTCCTTGCTGCTTGTCCTGCTGATGAACTGTTTGATCATTTTTTGTAATATGGGTGGGCCGTTAAGTCTTAGGCAGGCCCGGGTAGTCATAGCTTCGTTTTTAGTTTCGAAGTAATTGGTCAGTTCTTTTCTTTCTATCTTAAATTTGTCGCATTTTAGCAGGTAGTGCTCCGTAGAGTTGTAGGCTAGGCATTCGGTACACATCGGGTTGGTAGATTTGTCCTTCCAGAAACCCAGCCTTAGTCTCCATAGTGTATTTATGAGAGGGATTTTTGTCGGATCTTTCACTTGGGATCTGGGGCTGGGTTCTTTCAGTATCCCGAATGCGTGTCTACCTTTTTAGCTTAGTGCCCACTGAGTTTTCCATGTCTTGTAGATGTAACTCTTTTTGCTTGATTTGCATTCGAATTTCCCTAGCCCGATATTGATCGCATTGGGGATTAGTAAACCTTTCTTGGCTGCCTTGTCTGCCCCCTCGTTCCCAGGGATGCCTATGTGGGCCGGTATCCAGCAGATATGGACTGGGCATCCCTCCTGGGCGAGTTTCGTAGACATCACAAGGATTTGTTCCTTGAGGTCAGGCCTGCTGCATCTACCCAATCCTTTAAGAGTCAGAACTGAGGAGAGCGAGTCGGTTAGGATGCAGAGTTTTGCTGGTGGGTTGTCTGCCGCTGTTTCGACGGCTTTTAGGATGCCTACCAGCTCAGCTGTGCCTACCGCTGCGTCGTCTGGGAGTCGGTAGCATTTTTCGATCTTTCTGCTGGGACACACTATCCCTGCGCCAGTCTCTCCGTTCTGGTTTTTAGAACCGTCTGAGTAGATAGATGGCCAGGGCTCCGGCTGTCAGTGTGTTAATATATTCCTCAGCTATCCTCCTTGCTTCGTCTGCTTCAGTGGTTTTTGATACGAGTTTCGAGAGGCTGGTGTCTGTAGTCGGGAGTTTGAATTCCCACGGGGGGTGGGTTGGGGAATGTTTCCTGAGGCTAGTAATCGCATTGGTTACCTCCACTCTTTCACACTCCCTGGCGATAATCCAGGCCGTCGGACGTCTGAATTTATGGATGGGCTTGGTTTTGCTCTCCCACGGGTATCTTTTTGGCTGGAGAGCTCGGGTAGCTGGGTGATCGGGTTGTAGGCCTGTGCTCATCCAATAATTGTAGGCCCACTGTTTTCTTCTCAGATTCAGGGGGATGATGCCTAGAGCGACTTCCATGGCCTCCCTGCTAGTGCCTCTTCCTGTGCCTAAAATTATGGCTAGCGCTTGGCTTTGGATGCTGTCTAGCTTGAGTAGGGAGTTAGGGCTCGCTGCGCCATACACTATCGACCCGTAGTCCATATTCCCCATGATGAAGGCTTTGTAGAACATGACCATTGTTTTGGTATGGGCACCCCACCCGGATCCCTTTATAATTCTGAGCATGTTGCAATATAACTTGCATCGTGCTGCTGTCTGTATTACATGTTCTCTCCAGCTGAGCTGTTGGTCGAGGATCATACCCAGGAATCTGGTTTTGGTTTTTCTAATGATTGTGCTCCCACTGATTGTGATCCGACTGTCATGGGGGTCGTACCCTCGGGTGCGTTTGTTGTTAAATATCATCATCACAGATTTTTGTGTCTTGATGCTGAATTCCCACTTCCTCATCCAGTCGGAGATGTGGTTGATCTCTCTCTGTAGCATGTCTCGGGTGGTTGTTAATACCTGGTTGCTGCACCACAGCGCGCAGTCACCTGCGAACTGCGATATCTCCACCTCGGAGTTGGTGATAGCCTTGCTCATGTCGTTAACAAGGATGTTAAAGATCAGCGGGGAGATAACCGAGCCCTGGGAGGTACCATTCTCCTGTGTGTGCGGTCTAGATTCCTCGTTCCTTACTGCCATCGAGAACGTTCTATCTTGAATTAAGCTCCTCACGTACTTGAGAGTTCGACCTGTGATGCCGACTCTGTGGAGTTTAACTGTCGCTGCTTCCCTCCAGCATTGTTCGTACGCTTGGGCTAGATCTAGGAAAACAGCGAAGGTTTTATTCCCGAGTCGGAACCCTCTTTTCACGTGGTCCTCCAGTTTAATGATCTGATCCATGGTGGATCTTTCGGCTCTGAAGCCCGATTGGGTGACACTGAACAGTTTGTTCTTTACCATGTGGAATGATATTCTGTTGTTAATTATCGTTTCCAGTGTTTTTCCCAGGTGGGAAGTGAGTGAAATGGGGCGGTATGAGTCGATCCTTTGGGGGTCCTTGCCTTGTTTAAGGATTGGAACGACCGTCGCCTGTTTCCACAGTTTGGGTATTTCGCCACTTCGCCACACTAGGTTGAACAGGTTGGTTAGTGCGGTGACTGTTTCTTTCGGCAGCATCTTGAGTATTGCATAGTTAAGGATGTCTGGGCCCGCCGCGGTGTTTGTTTTGTCCTGAATCGCAGAGACGACTTCGTCTACCGTGATGTCGTTGTCGAGGTAGTGGGGTTCGCTGCCGGCGTTAAGGGGGTAGATCTCGCACTTCTTTGACCTGGCTTCTTCTCTCTAGTTCTGCTGTTCCGATTCTACTGTTAGAGCTGATGTGCTGAAAGTAGTGTCCGAAGGCTTCTGCTTTGTCTTTATCTGAGATCGCTGTGGTGGGAAATTTAATAGTCGGGATTTGCTTGCGTTGGTTGCAGCCCTTTATGGCCTTTATTTGCTTCCAGACGTCTGTGGTGGGAGTGCAAGGCGTCAAGCTCTGGCAGAATGACCTCCAGCTTGTTTCTTCGGCTTTTCTCACGGCTTGGTTGGCTTTGTTTCTTTCAGTTTTGTAGAGCTGGTAGTTGGCTGGTGTGTTGTGGTGCCTAAATCTCTGCAGGGCCTTTTTCCTTTCTGCGTGAGTCGTGGTACAGAGGTCATTCCACCAGCTTGCTGTTTTTGTGTGCCTAACTGTGCTCTGCGGTGGAGCCCTTTTAGTGGTCCCAATGATTCTTTCTGGCATATTTTTGTTGGGAATATGTCTGGCGGCCACTTTGAGAATGGTTTCTGTGAACCTAATTGCATATTGTTCGATTCCCTCATCCGAGTTTTTGTCGAGTGTAGTCGCCCCCAGCTCGTTTTGGAATGGTCCCCATCTGGCCTTTTTAAGAGCGAATTTGGGGCGACAACTTTCGGCATTTCTAATGGGAACGGCCCATGTGCGTATCAGGATTGGGAGGTGATCGGAGCTTGAGTCGTCGATCACGGTCCAGGTGCAACCCGCTAGGTCTGGTGTGGCCAGGGTAATATCAATAGCCGTGTCTCTCTGCCTGGGGGAGGGACTAACTCTGGTCATTGATCCGTCATTCAGGACTGTTAGTTTGTTGGTATCAATCAATTCGACTAGCCTTATTCCGGATTGGTCCGCCCTGATTTCCCCCCATAAAGGATGGTGGCAGTTCAGGTCACCGAGAACTGATCATGTTGTTGCGCATTCGGTCTTGTATTTGTTTTATGTCGGCTTTCTCTAGTTTCCCAGCTGGGCTGTACAGGTTCAGTATCCGGATGTCCCGGTTTTCGACTGCTAAGTTAACGCAGACTGCTTCGAGGTTTTTGGTTGAGAACGAGTCCTGATCGGTGATTATCCATTTGTTGTTGATAAGCAGGGCGACTCCGCCTCCTGCTTTGTCGGCCGGCCTGTCGTTTCTGATAATCTGGAAACCGGGGCAGGTAAACTTGTCGCTACTGTTTAGCAGGGTCTCCTGCAGGGCGTAAACTGTGTTGTCATCTCCCAGGGTGTTCATTATGCCTGGGAGGTTTTTCTTTACGCCTCTGCAGTTCCACTGGATTATTTGTAAGTGGTTTTTGTCCATAGCTGGTTCGGTAATGTGCGGGTTTACAGGTCTAACATTTGTCCCGTTCAGGCTGTGTTGGTTTCTGGGTCTGAGGCTTCGGTGGAGTCGTCGCTTGTTGAGCTCGTATCCGGGCTGTCCTTGTGGTACATACTGGTGTCGAATTCTATTATCTTTTTGTCTGTGTACTCGTTGGCAAGGCGCAGAAACTTGTTTAGAACAGGTTCTGTGGTGGGGTCCGTCATAGAGGGGTGCTCGTTGAGTTTGAGCGTTTCCTCCAGATTGGCGATCCTGGTTTGGCTATACAGGTGTCTTTCTCCGATCTCCCTGATTGCCTCTTTCATGATTTCTAACTCCTTTCTCAGCTGCGTTTAACATTTTCGGTGTCTTTCTTTCTCGATACGGAGCTCTCTTTGTAGGCTTTCAATTGCTTCAGTTTCTTTATTGCCTGTGTTGAGGGGCGGGCTACTGGTCGGTGGCGCGACCGTGCCTAGGTTCGCCATCTTTTTTTTTTGGGTTGTTTTTATTGCTGAGGCAAGTTGAAGTTGTGTTTTTGTTTGGTGTTGGAGGAACTTTACTTCCTTCAGAGGGGTCTTTGTCATCACTGACTCTCTCCAGGCCTTCTGTTCTTCCTTGCGCTTGGGGCAGCCTAGGTACCTGGCGCTGTGGTTCCCCCCACAGTTTGAGCACAACCTGTCTTTGTTTGGTTCTTTGTACTTGTCATTGGGTTTTTTCTGGCAATCCCGGTACCTGTGGCTCCCACTGCATAGGCGGCATACTGGTTTATTTCGGCACGATTTAAAACCATGGCCGAACAACTGACACTGCGTACACTGCAGCAGGGGTGGAACGAAGATCTCACAGACCTTTTTGCGCCCCTGGAAGTTCACGCAAGATGGCGTCTCCGTTCCAACTAGCGTTATTTTAATCGCTCTTGTTGGTTGGCCGTTTTTATTGGCCAGTCGAACTGTGTGGGCTATCTGCCAGGTCTGGTTCTCTTCCCTGAGGGTGTCGATGAGTTCGTCTGCTGTGAGGGGGATTCCCTTCGCGACAATGAATGACTCCAGTGTCGCTTTCTCTAGTCTGACTTCCAGGTCATGTGGCAGTGGTCGGCACACTCCTCCCTTGGTATCGACTATTTCCTTTAGAAGGGGTACTGATCTTTCGTTTCTGTCCACGATTATAAAGAAGCTTTCTCTATGTGACCGTGACGAGACATGAGCTATTGACCCGGTGCCAACAAAGGGTTCTAGGGCCAATTTAACTTGGTGGACGGAGAGAGCTCCAAGAGAAGCCGCGGAGCCCTTTGTCTGAGTCACTTTGATCTTTGTACCGCGATTTTGTTTGGACGGTGGTACATTGGTCGCAGCCGGGGGGGGGGGGGGGGGGGGGGGGGGGGGGGGGGGGTGAAGATCCGAGTTGTGACAGGTCTATTGGCCGGTTGATGTTTGGCTGTCCCTTCCGACACTATTGTGGCGTAGGAGGGAGCGCATTCTGTCGGTGATTCCTCTGGCTGGTCGTTGTCTTTAGGGGGGGGGGGGGTGGGGCTGGGTAGCCTTAGCTGTGGTGCCCTCTTCCGCCTCCTGGTCCGGTATTACCGTCGTTTTAGGATCCTTGCTAGATACCCGACTAGCCTTCTCTTTCTGATCTGCTATTGTCGGTGGTTTCGGGTCCTTTTCTGACACCCGATTAACCGTCTCTTTAGGGGCCTTGCTGTGAGCTTTCCAAGCGGTGAATTTGCTTGAGATGCCTGGCTCCTGGGAGCTTGCTCTAGTTTTTTTTCTCTCCGCGTCGTTATCGGTGGTGTTTTCGACATTTTGACCCGGTTTTTGAGTTTTAGGTTGGCTAAGCCCTAATCAAGGTTTTGAAGTGGTTTAATAGTAGACTATACTCACAAATCTTGATCCGGGCTCTGATGACTTCTTGGTGGATGTATCGTCTCAATCGGTCTTAGCTTTCGCAAAAAGCTTGTCCTCTGCTGAGCAACAAGCCTGGTTAGGAGGACCACTTTAAAAGTAGACCTCCCAGGGTGTTCAGAGCAGTACACAAGGCTTAGTGCTGGGACAATCGGACTTTTAGTCAGCGTATCGACTCGGGATTTGGGACCACTACAGCTTTCAGACCTAGCAGATCAAGCCGAAAGCAGCGATCAATACTAGTGACTGAGGAAACCTGTGACCCTCCTCTCAAGCGACCGCTGAACTAAATAAGAGCAACGTTTCAGTAGCGGGTAAATTAGAGTGAGGCTACTAACTCTCTCTATGTGTCGAGTAGCGGGTAGTTTATAGTGAGGCTACTAACTCTCACTTTTCAAAGCCGACGTGATAACAAGTTATCGACGATCGGACAGTGAATCGGACTTTACGGATGAGACGAGGCGGGCGACTTGCTTGATCAGAGATCAGAGCGCGAGTGCTATTACGCCCCTCGTCTCTCACAGTAACTATATATACGCCATTATATCCCATCCAAGTCACAGTAATTATACACTATTATGTCCCGTCTCTCTCAAAGTAACTTTACGATGTTATATCCCATCATACACAGTATCTATACGTCAATATGACCCATTTCTCAAACAGTAAATATACGCCATTATATCCAGTCTCTCGCACAGTATCTATACGAAATTATGCCTCATATTTCACATAGTAACTATACGAAAATATGTCCCATATTTTACACAGTGACTATACGACATATATCTCATCGCTCTCACGGTAACTATATGTTGTTTTGTCCCATCCCTCTCACAGTAAATATACGCCGTTTTGTCCCATCTCTCTCACTGTAACTATATGTCATTATGTCCCATCTCTTACACAGTATCTATGCGCCATTATTTGCCATCCATCCTGCAGTAACTATGTCAAACGTAAAGTTGTCTAAGAATAATGTTATCACAGCTACAGCAACAACATTACACTTGCTCCGTAGATGGTAATGTAAGCTCCCCGTGTGGGTTCCATGTCTATACTGTGGGGAAAACACCACCCCCCCCCCCCCACCCCCATTAGAGTCGACTAATTGAGGGTTTCCTTTGAAATTGGAGCGCATCTACCTCAGAGGCAAGCAACCACAGTCTAGACACAAACATGCCAGATTAGTAAAACGGATTTGCACACGCAGCACTCCATTTTTCAAAACGTCAGAAGTTATGTTCTTCCGTGTTCGGCTGAAGAGTTTGAGGAATCCATAATGTTGCCATTGATTCTGTATTGTGTTGTTTGTATGATCCACAGCTCGTTTGCTCTAAAGGATTTTCGTACAGCAAAGCCAGACAGGAATTCCTGTTATGGGGTCACATCCCTGCGCTGTGTGACACGGTGACTGATGGTGGCGGTTGGGTGATTATACAGGTGAGTTATCAACTAACCTCTTTAGTATCATCAGCATCATCATCATTTTCAACACCACCATTTGATGGCGACACCTCATAAGTTGCAGTAGCTGTGCCATGTTGCCAGAAGAAATGAATAGTGTTCCATCCACTGCTATCTGTCTAAATCGAACAGTCACAAATCACCTGAAATCTCTGACAACCCCAGGTGTGTGCCGACACAACTACCTACGCGTGTACTACTTACATCAAGCCAGACAACTGGCTTTTTAAGCAGAGGATTTTTTTTTACTGACAGTATGTTTTTGAAAATATGGCCTCTCTTGTTTTTGGAATCAAGGTCTATGAAGTCAAGCCAGCAGGTATTGCAATAGCGTGTCTTTTTTTGGGCAACTGTTTTCCACATTACAGCTTTCTCCGCATTCAGTTCTACGGGTCACGTTGCTAACTGTCTTAGGATGGGGCACTTGAGTTTTAGAGGAAATGACATAATTATTAAAAAACTAGATTCGTATACTTGCCACCGTTAAGGGACACATGCCCCCCCCCCTCCCCAATCCCCCACCCACCCACTCAAAAAAACTTTCATTAATAGTAAACACCCTTATAGCTATGATCAATTACTAAAACACGGGTATATAGCAGTGATATTCTAAACTAAGAGTCACAAATTGCTTAAAACATGATATAAACATGAAGTTAATAAGGGGTCACATATAATTGATTTTCAAAAGTCTACCGTCATTTAAACTATACATGCGTGCCTCTTTACTTAGCTAACTCAAAAACGTGTCTTTTCTTCTCTATACAACACCTAACGACCTACTTACCATTCTAACACTGAACTATCTAAGACCTACCTATCTACTAGCCCACCAGCTCAATAGACTACCAAAGTGGGGGGGGGGGGGTCCCAATATAGATGTTTTATGTTTGTGTCAGGGGATCGCAGTATAGATGTGTTTTATGTTTGTGTCCTGGGAGAAACTTGTCTGCGTATCTGCCTGCTTGTCTGTGCAATCAGCCTCGTTTCTAAAAGTTTTGTGTGACCTTTGACCTGTTCAGATAGCTCTAATACTGAATCTTGTCTGTAAAACTTCCAGCGACGTACGAAGGGTGACGTGGACTTTAACAGAACCTGGGTCGAGTACAAGAACGGGTTTGGAACCCCGGACACCGACTTTTGGATCGGGCTTGACGTTATCCACAACCTCACCTCTCAGGTAATCAAAGTGCTTCCTGCGCCATGTTTGTCTATGGCGTTGTGGGATATCAAAGGGGATGAGTATACATGTGTAGTGAATCTTTGAGTGACCCAGATACTCCACAGACAATATATATATATAATCATATATATATATATATAATATATATATATATATATACATACATCTTCTCTCTCTCTCTCTCTCTCTCTCTCTCTCTCTCTCTCTACTCTTATATATAGTGAGGAAAAGAAAAAGTGATATATAGGAGGTATCTCTCTCTCTATCATCTCTCTCTCTCTCTCTCTATTCTCTCTCTATCTCTCTATTTGTTTTTCTCTCTATCTATCTACTTCGATATATATATATATATATATATATATATATATATATAATATATATATCGTATCTATATATCATACATATATATGTATATCCCTTCCTCTCTTTCTGTCTTGATCTCTTTTCCTCTCTCTCTCTCTCTCTATCTATCTCTCTCTATCTCTCTATCTCTGTCTATCTATCTATCTCTCTATCTTTCTCTCTCTCTCTGTCTGTCGACTCTTCACCTTGTCTGTCTGCTGTCTGTCTGTATGTATAGTGTCTGGAAAAGAAAGAGTGATATGTAGATGTATCCCAATCCTATCTATCTATCCATCCAGCATCTATCTATCTATCATCTATTATCTATCTATCTATCTATTTATCTATTATCTATCTATCTATCTATCTATCCAATTCTATTATTATCTATCTATCTATCTATATATCCTAATCTATACTATCTATCTATCTATTCCATCTATCCAATTATATCCATCTATCATCCATCCATCCATCCATCATTCCATCCATCTACTATCGATCTATCTATCTATCTATCTATTATCTATCTATCTACTATCTATCTATCTATCTATCTATCTATCTATCTAATATATCTATCTATCTATCTATCTATCTATCTATCTATCTAATCTATCTATCTATCTATCTATCTATCTATCTATCTATATATCTATCTATCTATCTATCTATCTACTATACTATCATATCTATCTATCTATCTATCTTATACTATTATCTATCTATCTATCTATCTATAATCTATCTATCTATCTATATATCTATCTATCTATCTATCTATCTATCTATCTATCTATCTATCTATCTATCTATCTATATACTATCTATCTACTATCTATCTATCTATCTATCTATCTATATTATCTATCTATCTATCTATCTATCTATCTATCTATCTATCTATCTATCTATCTATCTATCTATCTATCTATCTATCTATCCTATCTATCTATCTATCTATCAATCTATCCTTCTATCTATCTGTCTAATCTATCTATCTATCTATCTATCTATCATCTATCTATCTTATCTATCTATCATCCGATCTATCTATCTATCTATCTATCTATCTATCTATCTATCTATCTATCTATCTATCTATCTATCTATCGATCTATCTATCTATCTATCTATCTATCTATCTATCTATCCTATTATCTATTCTATCTATCTATTCATCTATCTATCTATCTACTCTATCTATCTATATATCTATCTATCTGTATATCTATCTACTGTCTGTCTATCTATGTCTATCTATCTTGTCTGTCTGTCTGTATGTCTATCTGTCTGTATCTCTGTTATTATGAGAGAGACAGGTGCTTGGAAGGGCCGAATGTGAGACAGGCCTGCGTGCCTAATCTGTGACCCTTTAAAAAAAAATTCGTTCTTTTGTTCGTTCTTTCGTTCTGTCTGTTTGTCTATCAGTCTTTTTGTATGTCTATCTGGCTGCTTGTCTCTCCGTCTCGTGTTCAAGTTATCTGTTTGCCTTTATTTATCTGGTTATTGCTGTCATTGTGGTATTAGTTCGACAGACGTGTACATAACTTTAACCTGCGATCAGATCAGACATTCTGGTGCGTGCCCTGTGCAGAACGTTGCAGAGTGAGTTTAATGTTCAGTAGAGTTTTTCATATTTTCAGGGTTTCAATGAACTTCGAGTTGACTTGGGTACACAATTGGGGACACAATTGTACGCTCATTATTCCATTTTTTCTGTCGCCAACGAGTCCATGAACTACCGACTGTCAGTGGATAGCCTTTCCGGGTCAGCTAGCGACGGTTTGACCCTGTTTCATAACAACATGAATTTCTCCACCTACGACAGAGACAGCGACGGGACAAGTGCCATTTGTGCCGAGCTGAGCAAAGGTGCCTGGTGGTTTCACGTCGAATACTGTTGGTACACCAACTTGAATGGTCAATGGGGATTACCTAACTATGGCATGTCGTGGTACACAGCAGATTCAAGAGCCTTCCTTAATTTTACAGAGATGAAACTCAGGCGTCACTGAATAATGAGCATGCGAGCGGCAAGGGCTGCGTAACCAGAGGACTGTGCTACTTTAAGGCCACTCCCGGTAATTTGTGGAGGCTGAGGTACCCCTCTTCGCCATAGAAAATTGTCAAGCAGGTTATTCCCTTTCCCCTCCCTTTCTCCCCCTACTATAAGGATTTCATTAGGACTTCGAATACATGATTGTATTTATTTGTCATTCAGCATATAATAAACATTATTGTTCTTTTTATTGTCTGCTTTATTAATATTGCGTACTTTAGTAAGGCTCAATCTCATTGAGCCTCTGCCCCATAGAAAATCGAGACCACCCCTCTCCCTTTTAAGTGTTTACCCAAATTGCCCTGGGTGTTTCGTCCTTCTTAGGATGAAATTTTTGTATATGAAGCCCCACCCTGGCTTTTGCCAGGGGCCGCAATATAGGTAGGCCATAAATATAGCCAATTGTCTGAACGCGGTTTCTGAGACCTCTCCACGGCGATCCTCATCGACATGGTGGCAGTGTCATAGGGCGTTTATTGCTTGTGTGATGTCCTAGTGGGGTAGAAAGTCAGTCAGTCAGTCTCCCTTTTACATGTTGACACCCCTAATATGTGTGTATGTGTGTAAGTGTATTGTGTTTGTTTGTATGTGTATATGTTTGTCTTTGTGTGTTTGCGTTTATGTGTGTGTTTCTGTATGTTTTTGTGTTTATGTGTGTGTGTTTATGTGTGTTTGTATGTGTTTTTGTGTGAATGTTTGTGTGTGTTTGTGTTTATGTGTGTGTTTGTGTGTGTTGTTTATGTGTGTTGTTTGTGTATTGTTTGTGTTCGTGTGTCTTTGTGAACGTGTGCGTGTGTTTGCGTGTGTGTTTGTGTGTGTGTGTGTGTTTTGTGTGCGTGTATATGTGTGCGTGACCTATTACAAAAAGGCAAAGAAAGGATTTATTTGCACCATCAATACTTGTTATGACTGGCACAAATGGCGATAGTTCAACAGTATCATCATTTGTTACAAAGATATTCGGGAGTCTGCTCGCACTCTCTTGAACCTAACGGTTTTTTTTAACTCCCCCCCCCCCCCCCCCCCCCCCCAATTTACCCCCCCCCCCCCTCCCCCAAGAAAATTAATATATGCCGGCACACACAAAAACAACATGTTAAGGTCACTTTACGTTCAACGATAGACACTGGGAAACCAATCTCCCGCCCACCCAACTGTCAAAACCGTGCTTTCCTAATTGAGGTTTGAGTGAACAGCGGATTAACATCATGGCACATGGGTAGTAACCCAACAGTACTCCGTTCTTCTTCTAACTCAAGTCTGAGTCCGAAGAAGTTCAGCACAGTGTACAGGCTCTGTAGCACCGGCGAGGATCCTGGAATACTTAAGTAGATTTTTAACTCCAAATTAGGCCCTGGCCGGGCCATCAGGCTACTCTTTTCCATCTCCAACTGCCTTTCCATCTCCAACAGCCAATGGATTTTTTTTACGTGCACAACAATGCACACGGGCGTCCGAGCTCACTATCCAGGAAGAATTACTAAAAATCCAAGTCCATGTAAAAAAAAAATCCCAGCCCTAACCATGAACTGAACCCGAAACCTTTAGCACACGAGGTGGACTCCATGCCTCGGGACCACACAGCTTCCCTCGTGCCTACATGATTAACATAGAACAAGAAAGAAGTTGAACGTGACAATGTAAATGTTGAACCGTGTTATGGCCTATAGCACCACAGGACTAAACATTGCAAGTTGAGAAGCCTTGGAGATGTAATTGGTTAAGAGTATGTAGAGACTATATCAGCTTCATCCTCATGTACCCTGCCAACTCATGCGTCTCCACAGATCACGATCCCTGGTTGCCTGGAACAGCTCTCTTGAGGATATCCCTCTATGCCATCGTTTTAGCTCATCCAGCATCATCTCTGCCCCTTTTCCCACTGATCTCTCCAATTGTCACTATGTTCTCCAGTGTTTCTCTTCTCATTATGTGGCCAAAGAACAGTGTTTGTCTCTTTCTTATTGCTGTATATAGAGATCTAGAGTATCCTCCAAATAGCGGCCATATATTATGGTGCACCTCACTCCCCCCCCCCCCCCCCCCCCCCCCCCCCCCCCCCCCCCCAAAAAAAAAATACTGACAGGGTCTCATTAGGTTAAGTGTCGTAAACATTCAAAAACTTGAACTCGAAAATTGTCAGGAACGAAGAATAAGAGAAAATGAAATCGACTATTTACCGATAATTGAAGCCTTGATATCTGAAAATTGTGGCACAGAAGTTGCAAATAGTGCCCGAAAATCGGCTGTTTGAGGCTTTTTTTGTGTGTGTGGCCACCATAATATGCGGCCGATATTCGGAGGATAGCCCAAACTCCACCGCCGAGAGTGTCTTCCGCGCCGCTACGTGGGACGCGGAGGGGGCTAAACAAGATGGCTGGGACTCTGGAGCAAATAAAATGAGGAAGCCCCACAAGACGCGGTAGCTGCTACTCGTGAGTCCCAGCCATCTAGTTTAGCCCCCCTACGCGCCGCTATGCGCGGCAATGAAAAACTCTCGTCAGCGAGTTTAACTCGGCGGTTTGTTGCGTCTGGCGACATCATTGCCGGAAATTAATCCCAGTAGTACAGCGCGTTTTGATGCGTTTCGCGACATCCACTCCGGAAATTTATCGTACTTTTGCCGCGGTATATTCGCTGGAAAGAAGTCCGCAATTTACATGTGATTGAGGCCCTGTCAGGGTGTTTTACGCAGTAATAATATGTGGCCGTTATTCGGAGGATAGCCGAGATCTTCTTCCATAAGCTTCTTTCAAGCAATCGTTGTTAGTTACTCTGGCCGTCCAATGTATTCGTAACATTCGTCTCAGAAACATCATCTCTGTTGCTTCCAAATTCTTTCTAATTTGTTCACTGACATTCCAAGATTCGCTGCCATACAGCAATACAAGTTCAATGTAACATTTTAGCACCCTCTTTCTGACATAAGAGACTACAGCACAACAAAAGGCACACTGCAGTTCAATGTTTTAACATGTTGTCTATAATTAATATAAGGATGTGAGTCGTCGACTGTTTCTGAACCCCTGAAGATTAAGGTTACAAAGACTCCTCGAATTACGACGGAGTTCCGTTACAACAGGTCGCAAGCAGAACTGGTCGTAAGTCGAACTGATATAATTTAACACTATCTTGATTCTAAAAAGGGTAATAACATTTGGACATAGAACAAAAACAAAACCACAAAAAACAAAAATTTATTCTATGTGCGTATAATTATTGTAAATTATATGGGGAATACACATTATGTACTCTACTGCATCAGTACCGGAAACTTATTTACCCTTCTAATATATTCAAAACAATGTTTTCCCGCAGTGTATTTAAATAACGCGGATACAAACAATACATTGCACAATTTATTGCCAGGCATATTTCACTGTATCTCATCAGGTGCGTTACTACAGAGTTACAACACTATCTTGATTCTAAAAAGGGTAATAACATTTGGACATAGAACAAAAACAAAACCACAAAAAAACAAAAATTTATTCTATGTGCGTATAATTATTGTAAATTATATGGGGAATACACATTATGTACTCTACTGCATCAGTACCGGAAACTTATTTACCCTTCTAATATATTCAAAACAATGTTTTCCCGCAGTGTATTTAAATAACGCGGATACAAACAATACATTGCACAATTTATTGCCAGGCATATTTCACCGTATCTCATCAGGTGCGTTACTACAGAGTTACATCAGCATAAAATAAACCACAAAACTGAATAAATTCAACTAAAATGCGAATAGTTTCTACCGAGACATTGTTCATGGCCGCCGGAAGCTTACTTTCTAATGAAGTTATTTTTCTTTGTTGTCCATTTATATTTTATATTGATTTATTTTTGTGGTCGTAGATGCGGACGTTGTAGGTAGCATAAGTCGTAGGTAGGGGCGAGGGTATCAAGTTTTTAAGTCTAAAACAGGACGTATACCAAGTCAAACTATAACAAAGCGAACGCATACCGAGCACTACAGTATATTTGAAATACTACGACATTGTTACATGTTACTATCAAATTAAAGGCAACATAAGAGATGAACCCACTGGCAGTCTCACAGAACATGACATCAATGTTTGACAATTTACTAAATCAACTTTGACAAATTTAACATCAACATATTTAATACTGATAGTTATTTTGTCTGTGTATTAGAATCTAAACATGCTGACGAAGGTTGTGTACCTGAACATCACTGACTCTAGGGCAGTATAGCTCTTGAGATGACGTCATACTGACCAGTGGTGTTCAGCAAGGCTAACTCACAGATAAACGACCCGTTGTAGCAGTTCAGTTCGAGCCTCAGGTCTATCAACACGCCATCCCCGTTCTCCAGAACTTGACCAGTAGCGTTAAACAGGTCACTCAGGTTGTGTCCAAGCTGCACGTGTGGATCCAGCTGGGACACCGAAGCTAGGGTGACCGTGTCCTGGTAGTCCGTGTCGTTGTAGATGGACAGGCTCAAGAGAGGGTAGTACACAGTTTGGTTGATTTGGGCCACACAATGTAGCTGCCCACAGGACGCTCCGTTAGAGGTCGAGTTCATGAAGAACGACAGACCTAAAGGTAAAGAATACTGTCCATTAAGTTCATAAAACTTTCGGTTGAGGAACGGGAGAGGGTGCACTTGAGCTTGAGGGGTCAGTCGCCTTCAGCCCTTGTCCCCAATAATTTGACAGGGGTTGACCCGCTACCTAGTCATTAACAATCTCGTTCGTCATGCATGGACGTTCTCTTTTTTTTACGTGTATGTCTGTAAATTTTATATTATTTTTAATGTAGTGTTAAAATTTGCACTTTAGCACATACTATTAAAACTGTATTATGATCACTGCGCATTTAAACAAGGATTGATACTCTTAAGCCCACCCACGCCACTATAAATGGTGCTCTCTCACCACTCCCATCCACCCCCTCCCCACACACACATTTACACACACACAAACACACACTTCAAATGGGTTTTTTTTTTTTGGCTATCCTCCGAATAGCGGGCACATATTATGGCGGCCGCAAAAACACCCTAACAGGGCCTCAGTCACATGTCAAATGCGTACTTCTGGCGACTTCATTTGCGCACTTCCGGCGACTACCACCACCGACGAGAGTATCTCCCACGCCGCTACGCGTGGTGTAGATTGGGGCTAAAAAAGATGGCTGGAACTCACGAGGATCAGCTTCCGTATCGCCTGCAGCTTTGCTCGTGAGTCCCAGCCATCTAGTTAAGCCCCAATCCGAGATACTCTCGGCGGTGGCGGTAGTCGCCGGAAATCATCAGATTAAGTCGCCGGAAGTTCGCGATTTATATGCGACTGTCACCCTGTTTTTCGCCGCCATAATATGTGCCCGTTATTCGGTGGATAGCCTTTTTTCTTTACAGCATGATTGAATTGTAAGCACGTTTTGCTCTGCAAATAAAGTCACATTGTTGGATAGTACGTAAAGACATAGAGGAGAAACAGAGGTTAAAGAACACACAGCACGATAGAAACATTGAACAATACAGTCACCACATTAGGTACAGTCTAGATCAATGGTCTCGTCTCCAACACAGGGGGTGGGGGTGGGAGGGGGGCACAAGGTGGTTTCAAAGCCAAGTGTCAAGCCATTTTTAAAGTAAGTGCTGACAAAAACTGTATTGCAGTGATAGTTGCAATATCATTGGCTGAAAATACTGTATTGCACTGATAGTTGCAATATCATTCACTGACAAATACTGTATTGCAGTGATAGTTGCAATATCATTCGCTGATAATACTGTATTGCAGTGATAGTTGCAATATCATTGGCTGAAAATACTGTATTGCACTGATAGTTGCAATATCATTCACTGACAAATACTGTATTGCAGTGATAGTTGCAATATCATTCGATGATAATACTGTATTGCAGTGATAGTTGCAATATCATTCGCTGACAAATACTATATTGCAGTGATAGTTGCAATATCATTCGCTAACAAATACTGTATTGCAGTGATAGTTGCAATATCATTGGCTGACAAATACTATATTGCAGTGATAATTGCAATATCATTCGCTGACAAATACTATATTGCAGTGATAGTTGCAATATCATTCGCTGACAAATACTATATTGCAGTGATAGTTGCAATATCATTGGCTGAAAATACTGTATTGCAGTGATAGTTGCAATATCATTCGCTGACAAATACTGTATTGCAGTGATAGTTGCAATATCATTGGCTGACAAATACTATATTGCAGTGATAGTTGCAATATCATTCGCTGACAAATACTATATTGCAGTGATAGTTGCAATATCATTCGCTGACAAATACTATATTGCAGTGATAGTTGCAATATCATTGGCTGAAAATACTGTATTGCAGTGATAGTTGCAATATCATTCGCTGACAAATAATGTATTGCAGTGATAGTTGCAATATCATTGGCTGACAAATACTATATTGCAGTGATAGTTGCAATATCATTCGCTGACAAATACTATATTGCAGTGATAGTTGCAATATCATTGGCTGAAAATACTGTATTGCACTGATAGTTGCAATATCATTCGCTGACAAATACTGTATTGCAGTGATAGTTGCAATATCATTCACTGAAAAATACTGTATTGCAGTGATAGTTGCAATATCATTCACTGATAAATACTGTATTGCAGTGATAGTTGCAATATCATTCACTGATAAATACTGTATTGCAGTAATCGTTGCAATATCATTCGTTGACAAAACTATATTGCAGCAACTGTTGCAATAACGTTAGTAAATTAACAGTAACGTAATGCAGTGACTAGGTACAATTTTGTTACATGTATAGATAAACATATATTGCAGTGATTGGTGCAATATCGGTAATTGTACAGGTTAATATTAGTTGCGTATCCTTAACATGACGTTGCAGAACCAACCCCAGCAGCCCCTGGCTGTCGTGTGGTTTTTCTAAGCAAATTTACGTCCAGTAGTTTGCCATTGCTTTGGACAGTCATATTTCTTGATACCACTGTCGAAACCAACGCAAGGCGCATGGCCCGCAGCTGGGATCGAACCCGGCATTACGAAGCGTTTGCATCGACTTAGCCACAGAGCCGACTAATTGTACAGACAATAATATATTGCAGTGCTTGGTCTGATGGTGTTAGTTGTAAGGCACTAATATATTGTACTGATTAGTGCAGTATCCTTAGTTGTATAGTCAATAATACATTGCACTAATTAATGTAATATCGTCAGTCGTGTAGACAATAATATGCTGCACTAATTAATGCAATATCGTCAGTCGTGTAGTCAATAATATGTTGCACTAATTAATGCAATATCGTCAGTCGTGTAGACAATAATATATTGCACTGATTGATTGCAATATAGTCGTATAGACAATAATATGTTGCACTGATTAATGCAATATCGTCAGTCGTGTAGACAGTAATATATTGCACTGATTTATTGCAATATAGTCGTATAGACAATAATATGTTGCACTAATTATTGCAATATCGTCAGTCGTGTAGACAATAATATGTTGCACTAATTAATGCAATATCGTCAGTCGTGTAGACAATAATATGTTGCACTGATTATTGCAATATCGTCAGTCGTATAGACAATAATATGTTGCACTGATTATTGCAATATCGTCAGTCGTATAGACAATAATATGTTGCACTAATTAATGCAATATCGTCAGTCGTGTAGACAATAATATGTTGCACTAATTAATGCAATATCGTCAGTCGTGTAGACAATAATATGTTGCACTGATTAATGCAATATCGTCAGTCGTGTAGACAATAATATGTTGCACTAATTAATGCAATATCGTTGGTCGTATAGACAATAATATGTTGCACTAATTAATGCAATATCGTCAGTCGTGTAGACAATAATATGTTGCACTAATTATTGCAATATCGTCAGTCGTGTAGACAATAATATGTTGCACTAATTATTGCAATATCGTCAGTAATATGTAGACAATAATGCAAATGTTGCACTAATTTGCACTAATTAATGCAATATCGTCAGTCGTGTAGACAAGAATATGTTGCACTAATTAATGCAATATCGTCAGTCGTGTAGACAATAATATGTTGCACTGATTAATGCAATATCGTTAATCGTGTAGACAATAATATATTGCACTGTTTGGTGCAACATCATTAGGTGTAAAGACAATAATATTTTACAACAACTGGTGCAAAGCCAGTAAAATACTGCAGTGATTGGAGCAATCACCGTTGGTTGGCTTACCTTGACTATTTGCAAACACCAGCAGAAGTAAACAAGGTATCAGTCTCGCAGGGTGGCGCCACATGGTGCTAGAGTACCTGTCTTGCCAGTCTGTGACGGGGAATGGCCACTTTCCGGGACTAACGTGGTATATTACCTGTTGCACAATTCTCTCCTTGTCTCTGTGTGTGTGTGTGTGTGTGTGTGTGTGTGTGTGTGTGTGTGTGGGTGGGTGGGTGTCTGTGTGTGTATGTGTGTGTGTGTGCATTGCAATTGAGCTGTTTGTCAGCTATCTCTCGTGTAGCCGACAGTAGATAAAACCTTATCTCTGTGTTTCGGGAGAGATTTTTTTTTTAACCGACACAAATACAAAACATAATTCAACTTGTCTTTCAAGTGTTGGTTTTGCTTAAGACCCTTTCTGTCGTCTGTTTTAATTCTTATTGTACATTTTTTTTTTAAACGGGGGAGGGGGGTTAGGAAAGACGCCCGTGGATCCCATAAAGACACCAGCCCAGAAAAAAACCACCTCTGGACCCCATTAAGATACCAGACCGGAAGGAAATACTTCTAGACAGGACCTATGGGACAACAAAGACAGGACCTATGGGACAACAAAGACAGGACCTATGGGACAACAAAGACAGGACCTATGGGACAACAAAGACAGGACCTATGGGACAACAAAGACAGGACCTATGGGACAACAAAGACAGGACCTATGGGACAACAAAGACAGGACCTATGGGACAACAAAGACAGGACCTATGTGACAACAAAGACAGGACCTATGGGACAACAAAGACAGGACCTATGGGACAACAAAGACAGGACCTATGGGACAACAAAGACAGGACCTATGGGACAACAAAGACAGGACCTATGGGACAACAAAGACAGGACCTATGGGACAACAAAGACAGGACCTATGGGACAACAAAGACACCTACACTACATTTCCTGGACTTTTTCTATCCAATTATGCTACATGGCTTGGAAACTCTAAAGGATAATGAACCTGAGAAGACACAGTTTCAGAAACTCGGGTGCAAAAGGAGAGAGACAGAACAGTATAGCGTTAGAAAGTATACACACTGCGAGCCAGTAATGAAGTGGGACATTCGCGCTGAAAGTGTGACCCAGGGCTGCCAATGATGGGTTTTTACCCCCACCCCAGATCTGGGTTTTTATTTGATTCATTGGGTTCAAGTTCTGAAATCTAGCACTTTTTAAAAATATATCCTTATATAAAAGTGGGTAAATGTTTTGTTTTGTAACTATAAAATTTGTGCTTTTTAACAATGCAGGTTTTTTTATTCTCTTTTGTGTTCTTTGATTATGTATTGCTTGGGTGTTTTTGTTCAGCTTAGCTGGGTTTTTCCCAAAAAATCCCATTCGCAGCCCTGCTGTTACCAAGTAAAGACCCTTTGGCTGATTCAGCCCGTGTAGTGATGATGCTGAGACTGCGTACCTACGTCTGTAGTTCCGTTATAGAGCTGTGAAGCCTTTCTGAATGCTTTGTGACAGGCAAGTAAAATCATGATTTACTGGGTTGACTGTAGAATAGGCGTAGGAGTTACTTGTTAGTATATCGCTGAGTAGGGTAGATTCTAAGTCGATGCGAACGCTTCGTAATACCGGGATGCCGGGTTCAATCCGATCCCAGCTGCAGGCCATGCGCCTTGTGTTGGTTTCGACAGTGGTATCAAGAAAGCCGACCGTCCAGAGGGCAATGGCAAACTACTGGACGTAATTTGCCTAGAAAAACAACACATGCAACGTCCTGTAAAGGATACGCAACTATTCTGAGGGTAGATTCTGTTGCCAGTGGTATTGAATGGTAGGCTGTTGAGAAAAAGACAACAGGAGAGATATAAGAGAGAGAGAGAGAGAGAGAGAGAGAGAGAGAGGGAGAGAGAGAGAGAGAGAGAGGGGAAATAGAAAAAAACGAGAGAGGAAAAGAGAGAGGCAGATAGAAACATAAGGAAAAGAAATATAAAAAAGGAGAAAAAGAAAGCGAGAGAGATGTAAAATAGAGAGAGAGAGAGAGAGAGAAAGAGAGAGAGAGAGAGAGAGAGAGAGAGAGAGAGAGAGAGAAAGAGAGAGAGAGAGAGAGAGAGAGAGAGAGAGAGAGAGAGAGAACAGGGGAGGAAAGAGGAAAGAGGTACGCAGAAACAGGTGAGAGAAAACTTTTCAGACAATTGTTAGTTGCGTATCATTTACAGGATACCCTTTACTGGCTGTTGTGTGGTTTTTCTAGACAAATTTACGTCCATTAGTTTGCCATTGCTCCTGGACGGTCGGCTTTCTTGATACCACTGTCGAAACCAACGCGAGGCACTTGGCCCGTACCTGGGATCGAACCCGGCATCCCAGCATTAACGAAGCGTTCGCATCGACTTAGCCTCAGAGCCGACTTTCAGACAATAGATATATAAAAGCGAAATTACGATTTAGACATGAATAAAAAAACACGAACAAACAAACATGATCAACAAATGGTATATTTTATAGTTGTCAAATTGTCCTTTCGCCAGACAATCAGTTGTTTACGAGTCTGCGTGTAGGGCAGTGAAATCATTAGATTTTATAGCAGACCAGACCTGGTTGAAATCACCTGCTTCACAGTAGACGTGGGTACCAGGGGCACAGCTACACGGAAATCATGAAAGGCCAGGCGAAGGGGGCTTTATAAATTGTTTCGAGTGGCTGGAGAAGTGTCTTACGCCATGTTTACATGAGCAATAATAATTATTAAAATTACTATCACTTTTGAAAATAATACGTTTAAAATTAAATTAAAATATATACAAATTTAAAGAAAAAAAAAAAAGAACGAACGCTGTATGGATCTGGGAGATGCCTCCTTTAGTTGCTAATTTTACATAATTAACTTCCCCGTAGAGAAACCAGGCCACGAGAAGACACTTGCAGACGTCATAGAGACACCAGGCCACGAGAAGACACTTGCAGACGTCATGGAGACACCAGGTCACGAGAAGACACTTGCAGACGTCATAGAGAAACCAGGCTACGAGAAGACACTTGCAGACGTCATAGAGACACAAGGTCATGAGAAGACACTTGCAGACATCATAGAGACACCAGGTCACGAGAAGACACTTGCAGACGTCATAGAGAAACCAGGCCACGAGAAGACACTTGCAGACGTCATAGAGACACCAGGCCACGAGAAGACACTTGCAGACGTCATAGAGAAACCAGGTCACGAGAAGACACTTGCAGGCGTCATAGAGACACCAGGTCATGAGAAGACACTTGCAGACGTCATAGAGAAACCAGAGTGCAAAGAAAAGCAATTGTCTACCTCATCCTAAGAAAAGAAAGCAAGCAAAAATGAGAGACCCTTCAACACCTTTAACAAGATACGAATTACATCTAGACTTCAAAAAGACACCAAACAGAAATTACAAGATAGATCTAGACTTCAAAAAGACACCAAACAGAAATTACAAGATACATCTAGCCCTCACAACGACACTAAACAGAAATTACAAGATAGATCTAGACTTCAAAAAGACACCAAACAGAAATTACAAGATAGATCTAGACTCGCAAAGATACCAAACAGAAATTCAAATAGCATCGTAGCACCAAACAGAAATTACAAGATACTTCTAGACTTCAAAAACACACAAAACAGAAATTACAAGATAGATCTAGACCTCGCAAAGATACCAAACAGAAATTACATCTAGATACATAATACTAAAACATAAATTACAAGATGCATCTCACAAAGACGACACTAAAACAGAAATTACAAAAGAGATAGATCCTAGACTCAAAAAGACTTCAGAAAGACACTAATACTTCTAGCCAAATTACAAACAGAAGAAATACAAGATAGATCTAGACCTCGCAAAGATACCAAACAGAAATTACAAGATACATCTAGCCTCACAACGACACTAAACAGAAATTACAAGATACATCTAGACTTCAAAAAGACACTTAACAGAAATTACAAGATACATCTAGACCTTACAAAGATACTAAAAAGAAATGACAAGATGCATCTAGACCTCACAACGACACTAAACAGAAATTACAAGATAGATCTAGACCTCACAAAGACACCAAACAGAAATTACAAGATACATCTAGACCTCACAAAGACACCAAACAGAAATTACAAGATAGATCTAGACCTCACAACGACACTAAACAGAAATTACAAGATACATCTAGAACTTCAAAAAGACACTAAACAGAAATTACAAGATACATCTAGACCTCACCACGACACTATACAGAAATTACAAGATACATTTAGACTTCAAAAAGACACTAAACAGAAATTACAAGATACATCTAGACCTCACAACGACACTAAACAGAAATTAAAAGATACATGTTGCCCTCACAACGATACTAAACAGAAATTACAAGATAGATCTAGACTTCAAAAAGACACTAAACAGAAATTACAAGATACATCTAGACCTCACAAAGACACTAAACAGAAATAACAAGATACATCTATACCTCACAACGACACCAAACAGAAATTACAAGATACATCTAGACCTCACAAAGACACCAAACAGAAATTACAAGATACATCTAGACCTCACAAAGATACCAAACAAAAATTACAAGATACATCTAGACCTCACAATGACACCAAACAGAAATTACAAGATAGATCTAGACCTCACAAAGATACCAAACAAAAATTACAAGATACATCTAGACCTCACAAAGACACCAAACAGAAATTACAAGATAGATCTAGACCTCACAAAGACGCCAAACAGAAATTACAAGATACATCTAAACCTCACACAGACACACACAAAAATTAAAAGATAATCTAGACTTTAAAAAGACACCAGACAACAAGAAAAGATACCGCTATAATAAATCATAAACGCGACGAGCCAGACTATGTGTGTGTACTGTTGTCAGGTAAATTACGGAACAAATAGATTGACAGAATTAGATAAATTGACAAACGCATACTAGAAAGAAAGAGTGGACGAACGATGGAAGGAATGAATATTATTTTAAAAGATCAAAAATGGGAACCCAGGCCTGTCTTGCATTCAGCCTTTCCGAACATTCATTTTTCATAATGCTAGACTCGAACATTGAAGCATATTATGCTAAAGTAACAGAGGATGTGATCCATGAGTGTTCTTTCTGGTGACTTCAAGTGGACAGATACTGTGACAGATGTTTGACATGTCAGTCACCTTTTCTAAAAAAAAAAAAAAAAATAGCTTTAAACAAAACGGTTAAAACTGCACCCCCCCCCCCCCCCCCCCACAAAAAGCCCCTTTTAACTCTTTGTCCCAAAGAACGCATCATACGTTCATAGGTTCCTACCTAGAAGCCCAAAGAACGAATGATGCGCCGATTTTAATACTTTCTTTACTACCCCCTGGGACTGTGATGCTAAATCCCCCTGGGACTCAACAGAGTTAAGTTATTGCGTCGCAGGTGTATACTACGAGAAGACAGTGGGGGTTAGTCGTGTCTGTAACATGCAGACGATAGTTTGAGCAGGGACAAATATTCTCTGCGTCATTGACACAGAACAAAACACGCGGTAAATTCCACAGACTGCCCCCTTATAATGTTCTTGGTTTGGATCTAGGGCAGTGACTTGGCGAAATTGAGGCCTTGTTTAGGTGCCCAAAAATACGTTTTACTGTGTTCTAAATGTCAAATAAATACAATACATTTTAATAGTATGACATGTATAAACAGAAACTTAACAGATAATGTCTAGACATCCTGTGGGAGGGGGGGGGGTAGGGGGGGGGAGAGCTCAACACCGAAAAATGTTATAGTGGTCTGTAGCCTTGACCCCCCCCCCCCCCCCCCTACCCCACCCGCACGCTCCATTATTGTCAAGGGAAAGGGGCGGGCCGATAAATCTTCAGATGTCACCGTCCCTCGTAGCCTCTTAACTTCTGGCTAATCGCCGTTTACCAGGTGTCAATCATTATTCTTCTATACGTCCTATTTTACCGCTTCGGGTGTCGACAGAGATAATATAAGGTCCTGCTTTGTGCTTTTCTGGCTTTTTTGATCAAAGACACATCGTAGTACTGTAGTGTTTCTCTGATGTTATCCTTCCATTTGTTCTTGATCTGCCTCTTGCCTACGTCCCTCTCCTCTTTTGGTATATGCCTTGAATGGTACAGCAACCGAAGGCATTCTCTCCAGGTGGGAAAACCATTTGATTTGCTGTCTTTCTATGTAATTTAGAATTGGTTCTATTCCGACTTGATCTCGTATGACCTCATTCCTGATTTGATCTCTTCTGGTGACTCCTACAGCCTTTCTCAGACACCTTATTTCCATGTTTACTAATTTTCTTTCCTGCTGTGTTGTGAGTCGCCACGTCTGACACTGGTAGTATAGGGTCAGAGGGAGTATGCTTTAAATGAGATCATTACATGTTTTATAACAGGGACCCTGTGCGACGTCAGATCTACGTGCCTTGTTTAATCTGTGGTAACTGTTCAGGCGTTCCGGTTAGCAGGTACCTCTCAGGGCGGTCAACTATAACCATAAGCCATGCATCAGTGTTCTGTGATGGCGCTCGTCTGCTTCCTGCTTGGACTGACAATCATGGAGGCTCTAGGTAAGGCATAAAACATTCATGATCACGTTATGTGAGACAGATTTCTTACAAGTGTGCTGACTATCTTCCTTCACACAGATGTCACAGTTAAGTGTTTCTTTCTGATCGCTTTACACATGTGTTCACTATTTTCATTCACACAGATGCCACAGTTAACTGTTTTTTTTTTCATGATCACTTTACACACGTGCAATCTTTATTCACACATATGTCACAGTTAAGTGTTTCTTCCTGATCACTTTACACACGTGCAATCTTCATTCACACAGATGTCACATTTAGTGTTTCTTCCTGATCACTTTACGCACGTGCAATCTTCATTCACACAGATGTCACAGTTAACTGTTTTTTCATGATCACTTTACACACGTGCAATCTTCATTCACACAGATGTCACATTTAGTGTTTCTTCCTGATCACTTTACGCACGTGCAATCTTCATTCACACAGATGTCACAGTTAACTGTTTTTTCATGATCACTTTACACACGTGCAATCTTCATTCACACAGATGTCACAGTTAAGTGTTTCTTCCTGATCACTTTACACACGTGCAATCTTCATTCACACAGATGTCACATTTAGTGTTTCTTCCTGATCACTTTACGTACGTGCAATTTTCATTCACACAGATGTCACAGTTAAGTGTTTCTTCCTGATCACTTTGCACACGTGCAATCTTCATTCACACAGATGTCACAGTTAAGTGTTTCTTCCTGATAATTTTACACACGTGCAATCTTCATTCACACAAATGTCACAGTTAAGTGTTTCTTCCTGATCATGTGACACACGTGCAATCTACATTCACACAGATGTCCCAGTTAAGTGTTTCTTCCTGATCATTTTACACACGTGCATTCTTCATTCACACAGATGTCACAGTCAAGTGTTTCTTCCTCATCACTTTGCACACGTGCAATCTTCATTCACACAGATGTCACAGTTAAGTGTTTCTTCCTGATCACTTTGCACACGTGCAATCTTCATTCACACAGATGTCACAGTTAAGTGTTTCTTCCTGATCACTTTACGCACGTGCAATCTTCATTCACACAGATGTCACAGTTAACTGTTTTTTCATGATCACTTTACACACGTGCAATCTTCATTCACACAGATGTCACAGTTAAGTGTTTCTTCCTAATCACTTTACACATGTGCAATCTTCATTCACACAGATGTCACATTTAGTGTTTCTTCCTGATCACTTTACGCACGTGCAATTTTCATTCACACAGATGTCACAGTTAAGTGTTTCTTCCTGATCACTTTGCACACGTGCAATCTTCATTCACACAGATGTCACAGTTAAGTGTTTCTTCCTGGTCACTTTGCACACGTGCAATCTTCATTCACACAGATGTCACAGTTAAGTGTTTCTTCCTGATCACTTTACACACGTGCAATCTTCATTCACACAGATGTCACAGTTAAGTGTTTCTTCCTGATCATTTTACACACGTGCAATCTTCATTCACACAGATGTCACAGTTAAGTGTTTCTTCCTGATCACTTTACACTTGTGTTGACTATCTTTATTCAACATATGACAGTTGAGCGTTTCTTCTTGATCGTGTTAGACAAATGTTAAACATCCTCATTTTCTGCACTTAACTGTGTATTTTTTTTACTAGGCAATTTTATATTCTGGTACTGGATGATGTCGTTTCAGTGATGACTCTGAGACCAGTGTTTTGCATTGTGTTAAGTTTTATTGATTTCTTATGGCTGCAGTGGAGTATGCTCCCATGCCACACAAGTTTTGGTCGTACGTATCCTGTGTATACTTGTGCTGGTTGGCGTCTGCACCCCAGCTTGTTCCAGTAAGTTTCTTCATAATCTGAACAACCGGGTAGCTTTCCTTTGGGTGTCATCAATTTTTGGGCCTCATCGTCTTTTATCGAATCTGATTCCACAAATGTTGGGTTGTCCTAATTTGGAAAGAATGTTGCCTTCTAGGTACAGATCAACTTGTTCTAGCCCTGTGGAATGATATTGCCTTCTAGATACAGATCAACTTGTTCTAGTCTTGTGGAAGGATGTTGCCTTCTAGATACAAATAAACTTGTTCTAGCCTTGTGGAAGGATATTGCCTTCTAGATACAGATCAACTTGTTCTAGCCTTGTGGAAGGATGTTGCCTTCTAGATACAGATCAACTTGTTCTAGCCTTGTGGAAGGATGTTGCCTTCTAGATACAGATCAACTTGTTCTAGCCTTGTGGAAGGATATTGCCTTCTAGGTACTGATCATCTTGATCTGGACTTGTGGAAGGAAAGAAAAAGAGTCGAGATCGCATTGTTCTGGTTTATTGTGACTTTTCAAGAGTCCATTTCTTAACTGTATTTTAGCTTTCTGTATACTTCTTTTATTTGTTTATGTATTTTCAGCTTGCGAACATATGGCCAGTTCATGTGCATTTAGATAATCATATATAGATGTTGTAAAGTTGCTGCATTATTATGAAGCTGATAACATACAGCTGTTGTTGTAAAGTTGTTATTGCGAGATTGATAATATAAAGCTGTTGTAATGCTGATATGATTTTATGTCTCTCTTCACTACCCCTTGGGCCTGTGATGCCAAACCACCTGGGACTGAAAGAGTTAAATGTGAAGGAAATAGACCTGTAGAAATATCCCACGTTGATAAAAAAAAGAGAATGTTCTCCCAGTTTTATAGTTTGCCATCAAATAGGATAAGAGAAGAGTCTGCAGTGGGTGAGTTTTAGACCATCAGATGGGTTGAGAAAAGATGTCTGAAGTTGGTATATTTTAGACCATCTAGTGGGTTGAGGGAAGATGTCTGAAGTGGGCACATGTCAGACCATCTAGTGGGTTGAGGGAAGATGTTTGAAGTGGGCACATTTTATACCATTAGGAGGTGGGTTGAGGGAAGATGTCTGAAGTGGGCACATTTTATACCATTAGGTGGGTTGAGGGAAGATGTCTGAAGTGGGCACATTTTATACCATTAGGAGGTGGGTTGAGGGAAGATGTCTGAAGTGGGCACATTTATACCATTAGGAGGTGGGTTGAAGGAAGATGTCTGAAGTGGGCACATGTCAGACCATTAGGTGGGTTGAGGGAAGATGTTTAAAGTGGGCACATTTTATTCCATTAGGTGGGCTGAGGAAAGATGTTTGAAGTGGGCACATTTTATACCATTAGGAGGTGGGTTGAGGGAAGATGTCTGAAGTGGGCACATGTCAGACCATTAGGTGGGTTGAGGGAAGATGTCTGAAGTGGGCACATGTCAGACCATTAGGTGGGTTGAGGGAAGATGTCTGAAGTGGGCACATGTCAGACCATTAGGTGGGCTGAGGGAAGATGTCTGAAGTGGGCACATTTTATACCATTAGGAGGTGGGTTGAGGGAAGATGTCTGAAGTGGGCACATGTCAGACCATTAGGTGGGTTGAGGGAAGATGTCTGAAGTGGGCACATGTCAGACCATTAGGTGGGTTGAGGGAAGATGTCTGAAGTGGGCACATTTTATTCCATTAGGTGGGTTGAGGGAAGATGTCTGAAGTGGGCACATGTCAGACCATTAGGTGGGTTGAGGGAAGATGTCTGAAGTGGGCACATGTCAGACCATTAGGAGGTGGGTTGAGGGAAGATGTCTGAAGTGGGCACATTTTATACCATTAGGAGGTGGGTTGAGGGAAGATGTCTGAAGTGGGCACATGTCAGAACATTAGGTGGGTTGAGGGAAGATGTCTGAAGTGGGCACATTTTATTCCATTAGGTGGGTTGAGGGAAGATGTCTGAAGTGGGCACATGTCAGACCATTAGGAGGTGGGTTGAGGAAAGATGTCTGAAGTGGGCACATGTCAGACCATTAGGAGGTGGGTTGAGGAAATATGTCTGAAGTGGGCACATGTCAGACCATTAGGTGGGTTGAAGGAAGATGTCTGAAGTGGGCACATGTCAGACCATTAGGTGGGTTTAGGAAAGATTTCTGAAGTGGGCACTTTTTCGACCGTCGGCTAGGTTAAAGGAAGATGTCTGCAGTCAGCACATTCTAGACCGTCAGGTGGGTTGAGAGAAGATATCTGCAGTGGCCAAGGTTTAGACCATCACAGATGGGTTAAAAGAAGATGTGTGGAGTCGACAAGGTTCGTAATGTCGAACTTCTATTGCTGTCGAATAGTTCTAACTTCAAGGAGCAGTTCCAGATGCCGAGATGGACCCAGTAATTGTCCCTAGCAGAGTGTAGAATCAAAATCGGTTTTTGAATTTGAAGAAAACGAAAATAATGTCCACAGATAAAACTGGCTATCAACTAAAAATAACAATAAATGATGAAGAAATGGAAAATGTCACAAACTTTGAATATCTAGGCTCTATAATTAACAACACTGGAGACTGTTCGACAGAAATTAAAAAGAGGATGGCCGTCGCAATGCAAAGACTGAACAGCCTAAAAAGTCTATGGTTAAGCACCAGCAAGGAGTTAAAAATTCGAATTTTGAGAGCATGCATCTTCCTTGTGGCTACATACGGATGTGAGTCGTGGACTATCTCTCAGTCCTTAAGAAAGAGAATAGGGGCTTTTGAGTTGAAATGCTATAGAAAGATTCTCAGAATATCTTGGACAAAGAAGAGGAGAAATATTGACATCTTAAAAGATCTGAACATCAAGGAAGATTGGCTAATAAACAGCATCCTTTCTCGAAAGCTGAAATATTTGGGTCATATCAAGCGCCACGACGGATTGGAAAAAAATATTGCAGAAGGCATGGTACCAGGAAGGAGGGGCAGGGGCCGACCGACACGAAGATGGGCACAGGATATAAGTGACTCCTTGAGTGTGAAAGTTTATGAGGCGGGGAATTGGCAAGAGACCGAGTTTCTTACAGGCAGAGTGTGATGAAAGCGACGTTCTGCAAAGGACCTGCTACATGATGATGATGAGAGTGTAGAAATTTGGGCATTAGGCAGACAGCATATGCCATGGTACTCTCGACGCACAGTAGACAAAGAGTGTGTGTGTGTGTGTGTGTCATAAGATGCCTACATCTGCCTACAGTAGCCCAGTAAAATGGTAGAAGGAACGAGCTAAGGAGCCACGAAAGAAGGAGCCATAATTAAAATAATATTACAATTGTTTATATTAATTATTTCTAATCAGATTGAGTGCAAAAAAGGACAGATTCAGACAAGCTGGCAGCAAGAGATTCTGCTCTGGGGCAGCGTTAGAACACTGTGTGACACAGCCACTGACGGCGGGGGATGGGTCACAATACAGGTATTGCCGTCGGCTCTCAGTGGTCAATCCTTGTATATCTCTGCTCATTCATTCATCTGTTTCTCAATTCGTTTAAATATATATATATATATCATAAAATAAAGCTCTCAATAATTATCTCCATTGCTGATTTCGTGATCATCTTCATTGCATGCTAGGTAGCCATAAGTACTTAGATCTTCTTCTGTGCATGTTTGGTAGCCAATAAGTACTTAGATCTTCTTCTGGGCATGTTTGGTAGCCAATAAGTACTTAGATCTTCTTCTGAGCATGTTTGGTAGCAAATAAGTTCTCAGATCTTCTCCTGTGCATGTTGGGTAGCCAATAAGTACTTAGATCTTCTTCTGTGCATGTTGGGTAGCCAATAAGTGCTCATATCTTCTTCTGAGCATGTTGGGTAGCCAACAAGTGCTCACATCTTCTCCTGAGCATGCTGGGTAGTCCATAAGTACTGAGATCTTCTCGCAGGTATGCTGGGTAGCCAGTAAGTACTCAAATCTTTTTCTGAGCATGTTGGGTAGCCAGTAAGTACTCATATCTTCTTCTGGGCATGCTGCGTAGCCTATAAGTACTCAGATCTTCTCGTAGATATGCTGGGTAGCCCAAAAATACTCAGATCTGTTCGTAGGTATGTTGGGTAGCCCTTAATTACTCAGATCTTCTCCTAGAAAGATGGTTGTGTCACAACTCAGATGATGACGTTTTAGCCACAATGAACATTCCGTCTCCAGCTGCAGAATTCGAAGGATATAGATTCTGAAAATTTGGTTGCACTCGAGTATTAAGTGGCAAGCTATAATGGACCAGGCCCAGAAGGAATTAATCCAAGTGATACTAACCAAAGTACAGACCAGCACAACACTGCTTGAAGCAGCTAGTGAAGCTGAAGAAGCAAGTCACGATAACCCACAAATTGCAGAGACGTCGGCTGTCGTGCACCAGTCTGTGCAGTCTAAGTCATTTGCTGTTCAAAAATGCCCAGGTAAGATTTATGTAGTGGAACCAGTGTCTAGAGTGATTTCTACGCTGATTGTCTGCAGTAAGAAAAAAGCACAGACAAGGACATGTCTGCTTTTGTCTAGAAAGAGTGATTGAACCATGATACGTCGATGATGTGATCTGTTATTGTGGTTATGGATGATTTCACATGATAATGTATTCCTCAGTATAAGTTGCTCAAGAAAGTAAAGTGTCATTACAATAGGCTTCATTCAGTGTGTTACAACCTACGTTACTTCACTGTCGTGTACACATGTCTGTACTGTATGTGCTGTTTTAGTCGTGCACACATGTCTGCAGTTGTTTCAATATTCAACTTATAAAGGTTTTACGGCATCTAGAAAGGTGTTTTCCCAAAGATTATGACAATGAATAAAATCCTCTTTATGTATATAACTATATATATATATAAATCAATGTTTGTGTTTTTGTTTATGTTATATAGACTCGGAAACTACTGAACCAATTTAGCTGAAATTTTCAGGATATGTTTGTTTTGATACCGGATGTTTACCAATCATGGTTTGAAATTCTACATGTCATTATTAGAGATAGTTGACCACATTTGTTGGAAAAATCTTCGAAACTAATATTTACATTTTTAGTAACATTTAATTATAGCCACGTTAGTAAATGCTCTTGCCCGATCGACTTTAACAGTGCAGGCGCAGTAGACACAGGACGCTCTATTTTTAACATCCGCCCGTACAGCAAACCAGACTATCTCTATATCGCTGATTGCGACGTTAGCCATATTAGACACGATTTTTTTCTTTTCAAACAACCTTAGATGAGTTAGAGAGTAGTCGCTGGATTTGAGAAAGGGGAAGAGAAGGGGGGGGGGGGGTAATTATGGATGCACAGACAATGTTTGCGACAATTACCGTGTTAGACACGTACGATTTCTATTATTGTGCCGTTTCAATAATACTTAAAGTTTATATCTGGAATATCTGTTTATGAGAAAACGATTGCCTGCGGTTTTCAGTTGTTAAAATAGGGACACAGATTTTGGGTAGTTTGGTTCTCTTTTTGCTCTTCAGAAGCAGTGGTTGGCTTGTCGAATGGTTAGTACATAGGGTTCCTGTGCTGGAGACGAGGGTTCGAATTTGGCACGGTAGTTTCCTTTTTTTCCATTTAGCCACACTATGCCACAGCAACGCGTGGCCGGGTACAGCTAGTATGTTTATATAATTAAATCCCTCCTTTCATCCACCATCCATCCGGCTGTCTATCTTTATTTCCTTTCTGTAATCCTATCGTCTCTATCTGCATGTATATCTCACCTCTTGTGTATACACCTTGTATCTTTCCCCCTCAGAGACGGACAAACAGCGACATCAACTTCTTCAGAAACTGGATAGAATACAAGAAAGGCTTTGGGAATCTTTACACCGGCTTCTGGATCGGCAATGATAACATCCACAAACTGACCTTACAGGTGACTAGTGTACACGGTGTCTGTGCCACCTGAGCTGTCTTAGTCTAGTACACATGTCTGTGCTGTATGAACTATCATAGTCTAGTACATATGTCTGTGCTGTATGAACTATCATAGTCTAGTACACATGTGTGTGCTGTATGAACTGTTTTAGTCTTGTACACATGTGTGTGCTGTATGAACTGTCGTAGTCTAGTACACATGTGTGTGCTGTATGAAATGTCGTAGTCTTGTACACATATGTGTGCTGTATGAACTGTTGTAGTCTAGTACTCATGTCTGTGCTGTATGAACTGTCGTAGTCTAGTACTCATGTCTGTGCTGTATGAACTATCGTAGTCTAGTACACATGTGTGTGCTGTATGAACTGTTGTAGTCTAGTACTCATGTCTGTGCTGTATGAACTGTCGTAGTCTAGTACTCATGTCTGTGCTGTATGAACTATCGTATTCTTGTACACATGTGTGTGCTGTATGAACTATCGTAGTCTAGTACTCATGTCTGTGCTGTATGAACTATCGTAGTCTTGTACACATGTCTGTGCTGTATGAACTATCGTAGTCTGGTACACATGTCTGTGCTGTATGAACTATCGTAGTCTTGTACACATGTGTGTGCTGTATGAACTATCGTAGTCTAGTACTCATGTCTGTGCTGTATGAACTGTCGTAGTCTGGTACACATGTGTGTACTGTATGAACTGTTGTAGTCTAGTACACATGTGTGTGCTGTATGAACTGTCGTAGTCTGGTACACATGTCTGTGCTGTATGAACTGTCATAGTCTGGTACACATGTCTGTGCTGTATGAACTATCGTAGTCTTGTACACATGTGTGTGCCACCTGAACTGTCGTAGTCTCGTACACATGTCTGTGCTGTATGAACTATCGTAGTCTACTACACATGTCTGTGCTAAATGAACTGTCGTAGTCTTGTACACACGTCTGTGCCACCTGAGCTGTCTTAGTCCTGTACACATGTGTGTGCCACCTGAAATGTCGTAGTCTAGTACACATGTGTGTGCTATATGAACTATCGTAGTCTACTACACATGTCTGTGCTGTATGAACTGTCGTAGTCTAGTGTACACATGTCTGTGCTGTATGAAATGTCGTAGTCTTGTACACATGTCTGTGCCACCTGAGCTGTCTTAGTCTTGTACACATGTCGGTGCCACCTGAGCTGTTTTAGTCTTGTACACATGTCTGTGCCACCTGAGCTGTCTTAGTCTTGTAAAAATATTTGCACTCTATGTGCTGTTTTAGTCGTGTATACATATCTGTACTGTATGTGCTGTTTTAGTCGTGTACACATGTCTGTACTGTATATGCTGTTTAAGTCGTGTACACATATCTGTACTGTAAGTGCTGTTTTAGTCGTGTACACATGAATGTACTGTATGTGCTGTTTTAGATGTGTACATATGTCTGTACTGTATATACTGTTCTAGTCGTTTACACATGTCTGTACTGTATGTGGTGTTTTAGTCGTGTACACATGTCTGTACTGTATGTGCTGTTTTAGTCGTGTACACATGTCTGTACTGTATGTGCTGTTTTAGTCGTGCACACATGTCTGTACTGTATGTGCTGTTTTTTGTGTACACATTTCTGTACTGTATGTGCTGTTTTAGTCGTGTACACATGTCTGTACTGTATGTGCTGTTTTAGTTGTGTACACATGTCTGTACTGTATGTGCTGTTTATTTGTGTACACATGTCTGTAATGTATGTGCTGTTTTTTTTGTGTACACATTTCTGTACTCTATGTGCTGTTTTAGTCGTGTACACATGTCTGTACTGTATGTGCTGTTTTAGTTGTGTACACATATCTGTACTGTATGTTCTGTTTTAGTCGTGTACACATGTCTGTACTGCACGTGCTGTTTTAGTCGTTTACACATGTCTGTACTGCACGTGCTGTTTTAGTCGTGTACACATGTGTGTGCTGCAAGTGCTGTTTAAGTCGTGTACACGTACCTGTCCTTCCCATCCTTTTAACTTTACTCTCAAGCTCCATCTTTCGTCTGTGTTTGGTCTTCCTTATTTCTGTGCTCATGTGGGTTCCAATGCAAAGACATTCAAGTTATAATGTTCTCAGCTTTTCTCAACGTGTGTCCTATCCAACGCCAGCTTCTTTTACAACAAATTGTACCATATTTTAAATTTAAAAACAGCCAAAACGTCTTTAAAAACACACGCGCACGCACACAAACCTAGATCATTCATGTCAACTTTTTTCTTCTTCCTTATTATTGAAAAAAAGTTTAAAACAACGCCAAAATTGAAAACATCGATGCACAATTTATAAAACATAGCAGAACAAAGGGCGTGGTAGCTGATGTCCAGGTTTCTTGGCTAAGGGTAAAAAAGGAGCAAGTTTGAACGAAAGTACCAACTTCGGCCACCCTGGCATAGATTCTTTGTCAATGAAGAAACGTAGTTCAGACCAGGAGTCTCGGCATTGCCATGTTACGCTCTGGTGTATTCGCGGGCTTTACACTGTAGATAACGATGTTGGCTCATGCAGATGGTGATGACACACAAATGATGAACAGCGTAGATTCCACATCTCACATGCAGATCAACTGCTGTTTACTGCCTGTATATTAAAGACTGTGAATCCATGGAAAGTTTCTTGATATTCATCCCCATCTTTTCTCACAGAACAAAGATTTTAGAAGTCACGATTGTGGGTTTTCTTAATGAGAGCAAAATTCTACACTCGTTAGCGTGATCGGTCATACGATCACGATTCAAAAAATATCTGGATAATATAGTGGGTTGACAGCGCGGATTCATCAATTCACTGAGTCCTGCCCACTATGCCCTTTTCTGGATACAGACTGGACTTGGTAGGAGTAAAAACAACAGAGGCTTGTCTACAGTCTGTGAAATCCTGTGACTTTGTTCAGCAACTGTATACTTCTCTTGGCTGCTTCTGCTCATAGATGGAATATATTGACATCATCTTTGGCAAAGGATTTTGTGCTCAATCATCTTTCTGGCACACGATAGTCAACTAATGACATTCTAAACATATTGTGCGTTCCATAGGTCGTGACCTCACACTTTAACAGATATCTCGGAAATTCTTGAACTGATCAACATCAATTTTTGCACATGCCCTTTGATTTCCCATGTGCCTGTGATTTTTTGGTTACTTTACAATTGCACAGGTGCTGCTGTTTTCTTCAAGCAGCGAATTTCTTTGATCTTTGTTATGCCGCGATGCATAATATTAAAAAAATTGTGTTCATGTAACTCACCGCAGGATAGCGCTACAGATGACCACCTTATGGTGACAAGACTAGGCAAGATCGCGCTAGAGATGACCACCTTATGGTGAAAAGCCTAGGCAGGATCGCGCTAGATATAACCAACCTTATGGTGCGAAGCCCAGTCAGAATCGCGCTAGAGATGACCACCTGATGGTAAAAAGACTAGGCAGGATCGCGCTAGAGATAAGCACCTGATGGTGAAAAGACTAGGCAGGATCGCGATAGAGATGACCACCTTATGGTGAAAAGCCTAGACAGGATCGCGGTAGAGATGACCACCTTATGGTGAAAAAACTAGGCAGGATCTCTCTAGAGATGACCACCTTATGGTGAAAAGCCTAGGCGGGATCGCGATAGAGATGACCACCTTAAGGTGAAAAGTCTACACAGAATCGCTCTAGAGATGACTACTTTATGGTGAAAAGCCTTGGCAGGATCGCGCTAGAGATGATCACCTTATGGTGAAAAGACTAGTCAGGATCGCGCTAGAGATGACCACCTTATGGTGAAAAGACTAGGCAGGATCGCGCTACAGATAACCACCTTATGGTGAAAAGACTAGGCAGGATCGCGCTAGAGATGGCCACCTTATGGTGAAAAGACTAGGCAGGATCGCGCTACAGATGACCACCTTATGGTGAAAAGACTAGTCAGGATCGCGCTACAGATGACCACCTTATGGTGAAAAGACTAGGCAGGATCGCGCTACAGATGACCACCTTATGGTGAAAAGACTAGGCAGGATCGCGCTAGAGATGACCACCTAATGGTGAAAAGACTAGGCAGGATCGCGCTACAGATGACCACCTTATGGTGAAAAGACTAGTCAGGATCGCGCTACAGATGACCACCTTATGGTGAAAAGACTAGGCAGGATCGCGCTACAGATGACCACCTAATGGTGAAAAGACTAGGCAGGATCGCGCTAGAGATGACCACCTAATGGTGAAAAGACTAGGCAGGATCGCGCTAGAGATGACCACCTTATGGTGAAAAGACTAGTCAGGATCGCGCTAGAGATGACCACCTGATGGTCACGAGACAATGAAATGCGTACATTTTAACGTTTTAAAAAAAGTTCCCGCTATTCCGTTAAATGTAAGCATACTGGTTGTTTGCTTTGAATCGCTATCTGTGTCAAATGAGGCCAAATGAAAACTAGATGTTTCTTTACATACCTTTTAAAAAGTTGCATATCGCATTTCAACAGCTTACACAGAAGGTTAACTGGGTTACAGAGTTTTAAAGCTGGTCGCGATTTCTGAAACGGACTATACATGCCATAGTTAAGTTCAACAGAAACTAGCAAGACTAGCCTGTAATTATGCTGATATTTTCAGGGATTCAACGAACTTCGAGTTGAGTTGATGTTCAACGGAAAACCCTACTTCGCCCTGTACTCCAGCTTTTCCGTGGCCAGCGAGGAGATGAAGTACCAACTATCAGTGAGTGGGTACTCTGGGACAGCTGGGGACAGTCTGCAATTTCACAACAAGATGTTTTTCACCACTTTTGACAGAGATAACGACAAGACCACCGTTGTTTGCACACATAGATGGTGGGGGGCATGGTGGTACAAAAATTGTTATGATGCTAACCTGAACGGTATGTGGGGCAGACATGATGGTACTGGCCTCAGCTGGGAGACACTGAGTGGAGATAGCGGGGTCGAGTTCTCAGAGATGAAGCTGCGCAGGGTTGAGATGACGGGGTCGAGTTCTCAGAGATGAAGCCTCCCTGGGTTGAGATGACCGGGTTGAGTCCTTGGAGATGAAGCTGCCACTGGTTGAGTTGATAGCGTTATTGGTATAGGCATCAAACGTTGTTCTCTTTTGGAGACACCCACAATTGAAACACAAAACACAACTGCAAAATAAAGCGTTTGTATATGGTTCTTGTATTTGATGATGATGATTGTTGATGTCACGTCGCAGACAGGCATACATACACGTACACGAACACAAACATAGATATATCCACACACACACACACACACACACACACACACACACACACATACACATACACTGACAGGCACATACACTGACACTGACATTCAAAAACGCACACATAGATACACCCATTTACAAACACACACATACACGTGAACAAACACATTCACATACGTATAAAGAGAGAGAGTTAGAAAGACAGAGAGAGAGAGACAGGTTGAGTTGAGTGAAGAATTAACATCACAGCACTCAGGGCATTTCTGTGCGTGCTGTGTTCTCGTTTTCAGCAGCCAGCGCAGAGTTTCAATACTGATGGTGCCGGTAATAATCTGGATAAATGTCCGTTTTGCCTTTCCTACGGGTGTAATAACCCGGCCAGACCCTCAGGTTAACACCCATGTGCTTCATTCTCTCCAGGCCATATTAATCCTTTCTCTACTGATTCCGTTGCTTGTTCCAAAAGGGCCTTGACCACTTCTGCCTTGTCATGCATCAATTCACCACACAGTGTCTGCCTGTTCATTACCTATGTGTACGCCAGCATAGCCTAGAGAAAAGATCCAAAGTATGCTCACCACCCATGACCCTCCCAGTGAAGCTTACCACTCTGCTCTCAGCATACCTGTCTTCACCTTTCTCGGCATGCTTTCAGAGTCTGTTACAATTACGACATGTGTATGCAACTTGTTATCTATCCACCGGAGAGCTGCAGTTACCGCCTCCACCTCCATTCTCATGCTAGATGTTGTGATGTCGTATGCTAGGCTGTCTTGCACTAAAGATTTTCCATTGGCTTTCGCTACGAACTCCCAGGCACTTCTCTTTCCTCTCAACACTGAACCATCTGTATAGATAATCAGATCACTTGGGCGTGAAGAGTCGTGAATCAACTGTTGGACTTTCACCTCCGTAGCTCCTGCTGTCCACTCTCTGCGCACCCGGCCCAATGTGATCATAACCCTACACAGGTAAGACTTTTCCGCTGGTACTCTGACCCACTCCTCTCCTCGACCAGTGTTCTTCAACATGCTTACTTGTCTTCCGCTTGAGCCATCCACGATTTTCCTCGTTTTAGCCTCTGTCCCTTACCTGCAGGCAAAACTTCATACAGAGGGTGTTCTTTGTTTGCAGCTACTAATGCACTAAAAATTATGGCAGCTATGGACATGGAGCAGAGAATCACACTGTTCACACTTTACCAGCACTCAATCATCTCAGTGATTGATTGTGGACTAGGGTTACTCACTGCCTCGAAGAGTCAGCTAGAGAAACTGGAGCGCATACAGAATGAAGCAATGCTGGTGATAATAACTTCATTCATTCGCAGAGACGGGTGGTACTCAGGTTAGGCTGTTGGTCCTCGGACCCGATAACCATTTGTCCCGGATTACCTCAAGGTTCTCCTCTGCTCCCCCAGTTCTCTTTAATGCCTATACGTTGCGAATAACCGACCAGAAATTGAAAGGGGGGTGGCAGGACTATATCATTTGCTGATGACATTTGACTCTATTGACATTGAAGAAAGCGTCATGAGATTTCCAATGAAATGCAGCGTGAACTTGATCGCATCTCCTCCTAGTGTGGGGACTCAGTGCACATGTCAACTCTTCAAAAGCCTCAGTAATACGGTTCTCCTTGAACACACATATGGTTGAGGCAGACCTACCAGTGGTAGAAATTAGTGGCGAAGCTTTGACGAGAACACACCCAACGACATAATTGAAACTGAAGTTTGATCGCAGTCTGTCCTTCAAAGAACATGTCGACCGTGTTATAACGATAACCGATAAAGGTTTATCAGCAATGAAGGTCTTGGCCACAGCCAACATTAAACAGAGACTGCTTCTGCTACTGTTCTATGCACTGTCTGTCTGTTGTCTATCTTTCTGTCTGTCTGTCCGCCCGTCCGTCTATCTATCTATCTATCTATCTATCTATCTATCTATCTATCTATCTATCTATCTATCTATCTATCTATCTATCTATCTATCTATCTATCTATCTATCTATCTATCTATCTATCTATCTATCTATCTATCTATCTATCTATCTATCTATCTATCTATCTATCTATCTATCTACTATCTATCTATCTATCTATCTATCTATCTAGCTATCTATCTATCTATCTATCTATCTATCTATCTATCTATCTATCTATCCCTATCTATCTATCTATCTATTTATCTATCTATCTATCTATCTATCTATCTATCTATCTATCTATCTTATCTATCTATCTATCTATCTATCTATCTATCTATCTATCTATCTATCTATCTATCTATCTATCTATCTATCTATCTATCTATCTATCTATCTATCTATCTATCTATCTATCTATCTATCTATCTACCTACCTGTATACCTACCTACCTATCTAGACCCTAGACATCGACTGCAACAGGCACACAATGGGAGTCAACGGGCAGAGAATCGCCGAGCAGGAAACAGATGCACTGAAGAAACGAAGGCATCTAAGAGTGGCCCGGACAAACGTTGTTGAGAGAAGTCAGCGATGTTGGACTAGATTCCATCCATAATATCACGGGGATTGTCTGGAGGATTGAACAGCGAGTCCCAAGTGACTTGTAACGGCACCACAAAATGATGATGATGATGATATGATGATTATGATGATGATGAGGATGATGATGATGATGATGATGATCTATACAAAATAACACGTATATTCGGTGAGCTTCTGTTCGTTACGTCTCCCTGAACAAAGTCGAGATCTCCCGGTTGTTCGTTCTCCACCCAGTTACTAACAGTGTTTCCTGCAAATGTGTCATCTGTCTGTCTATCTTTCGATGCTAACCAGTGTTTATATGACACCTTAGTTTAGTTAATTATTGTAATTGAATTACCATTTTATAATTAGATAATATGTGTGTGATAAGTTAAAGGAGTGTGTGTATCATAGGTTAGTGTGAGTGCGTATAGGTGTTTGTATGAGTCTGTGTATGTGTCTGTGCCTGAATGGGTCTAAATGAGTGTGTGTAAATGTAGGCGTCTTTGTATATAGGGGCATTTGTGTGTATATGTGTTTGTACTTGTATGGATGCTTGCGTATGTTTAGGTGTTTGAGTATGCATGGCTATCTGTGTATGTTTTCGTATGTCTGAGTCTGTGAATGTACGAGTGTGTGTGTGCGTGTGTGTGTGTCTATGAGTGTGAGTATGTTTGAGTGTGTGTGCGTGTGTGGGTGGGCGGGTGTATGCGTGTGCATGTTTGAATATGCATGGAAGGGGGAATGTCGGAAAAAATAACGATGACTACAGTCTGGCTGAGATCAAGGAATGCATTCCCTGAATACATGTTTTGACCTGGAGGTTCAATGAGACGGAAGGACACAACACGGGCAAAAATAACGTGAACGTTTTTACAGCAGAGACCACGTCGTTGGGCTTCTCAATCTTTGAATGTGCTCAGTTAATTACAAATCATGCCTCCTGTCTCCTCCTCCTTCTTCTTCTTCTTCTTCTTCTTCTTCTTCTTCTTCTTCTTCTTCTTCTTCTTCTTCTTCTTCTTCTTCTTCTTCTTCTTCTTCTTCTTTTTCTTCTTCTTCTTCTTCTTCTTCTTCTTCTTCTTCTTCTTCTTCTTCTTCTTCTTCTTCTTCTTCTTCTTCTTCTTCTTCTTCTTTGCTTGCTTTAATTAGTTCGTCAAACTGGGGAAATTGGGGTGGGTAACAAAAAACTGACAGAAACAATTACACATTGTCACTTAAACAAGCACCCTATATTTTGAGCTTCCCAATCACAGCTTGTGTCCAGTTTACCTTTTATTACGTAACGTTTCTTCTTCTTGTTTGTCACCTTCTCGCTTTAGTTACAAAAAAAGTGTTTTAAAAAAGGTGGGGGGGGGGGGGCGGTGTTAGAAGTCAGGAGCTGCTCTGTGCAAATTCAGTCACGTTTATAAGTTACTTTTTTAAAATTTTTTTTAAAATTCAGACTGTATCTGAATGTATTGACATCTTCCGCCTAGTTTTCCTGCTGCTCTGTGTCTATTCTTTTGCTTCAGCCCGGCTCCATGTGGCAGTTGGTTTCATGGGATTCTGGGATTCTGGCCAGAACGCCAGGCCCTCTCAAGTATTGCTCTGTAATAATTTGTATGTCACACACACATACACACACACACACACACACATATATATATATATATATATATATATATTATATATATATACACACACATACACTAAAATTATCAACACAAATAAACTATAAATAAATCATACAATAAACTATAACAGCCATATATAAATCACTTTATTGTAGAGTTCAACATTATTGCCTCAATGAGGGAATATAGAATCATTTATTGTCCAGTCCTGCAAGGTTACCCCAATGACGGAGTATAGAATCATTTATTGTCCAGTCCTACAAGGTTACCCCAATGACGGAGTATAGAATCATTTATTGTCCAGTCCTACAAGGTTACCCCAATGAGGGAATAAAGAATCATTTATTGTACAGTCCTAGAGGTTGTCCCAATGAGGAAACATGGTTAGAAAGCTATGTGAAATCAAACCCCAGGATCTAAACACGACGCAGCTTCATTTCCGAGAACCGAACTCCATCCTCCCAAGTAGTCAAGTTAACCCAGACTGTGTCGGTTGCCCATCCGGGTCCGCGCCACAAGCCATTCAGGTTGGACAAGTGGCAGTTCCTGTACCACCACGCTCCTAAGTATTTCTGTGCACAACTGATTTTATCATCCTTGTCGTTGTCTGTGTCTAGAGTGGAGAAGAACATGTCGCTGTGAGATGTCAAACTGTCCCCTGCTGTCCCCGAATACCCGCTTACAGACAGTTTGTACTTTTCGTCCTCGTTTGCCAGGGAAAAGTTTGAATAATGCGCGAAGTATGGTTTTTCCTTGAAGATCATATCAATTCGAAGTTCGTTGAATCCCTGAAAGTATTTGAATAATTTTTGACTGGACTTCTAATTGTAGAGAACATATATAGTCAGGAAACATAGTATAATTGTTGCCGACATTTTTTAGCAGAACAGAAGTAGAAATGTTGACATTCTGTAGCAGGATAGTAGAGGTGTTGTCTACATTCTGTAGCAGGAAAGAAGTAGAGAGGTTTTCGACATTCTGTAGCAGGAAAGAAGTAGAGAGGTTTTCGACATTCTGTAGCAGGAAAGAAGTAGAGAGGTTTTCGACATGCTGTAGCAGGAAAGAAGTAGAGAGGTTTTCGACATTCTGTAGCAGGAAAGTAGAGATGATGTCGACATGCTGTAGCAGGATAGAAGTAGAGATGTTGACATTCTGTAGCAAGATAGTAGAGGTGTTGTCTACATTATGTAGCAGGATAGAAGTAGAGATGTTAAACTTCTGAAGAAGGATAGAAGTAGAGATGTTGACATTTTGTAGCAGGATAGAAGTAGAGATGTTGACCTTCTGTAGCAGGATAGAAGTAGAGAAATTGTCGAAGTTCTGTAGCAGGATAGAAGTAGAGATGTTGACATTCTGTAGCAGGATAGAAGTAGAGATGTTCACATTCTGTAGCAGGATAGAAGTAGAGATGTTGACCTTCTGTAGCAGGATAGAAGTAGAGATGTTCACATTCTGTAGCAGGATAGAAGTAGAGAAATTGTCGAAGTTCTGTAGCAGGATAGAAGTAGAGAGGTTGTCGACATTCTGTAGCAGGATAAAAATAGAGATGTAGACGTTCTGTAGCAGGATAGAAGTAGAGATGTTCACATTCTGTAGCAGGATAGAAGTAGAGAAATTGTCGAAGTTCTGTAGCAGGATAGAAGTAGAGAGGTTGTCGACATTCTGTAGCAGGATAGAAATAGAGATGTAGACGTTCTGTAGCAGGATAGAAGTAGAGATGTTCACATTCTGTAGCAGGATAGAAGTAGAAAAATTGTCGAAGTTCTGTAGCAGGATAGAAGTAGAGAGGTTGTCGACATTCTGTAGCAGGATAGAAAGAGAGATGTAGACATTCTGTAGCAGGATAGAAGTAGAGAATTGTACACGTGAAGAGCACCTGATACAGTACAGAGATGTGCTCAAGACTAGGACAGCTCAGCTCAGTAGAGAGAAAGAGGAGAAGAGAGTAGCCAAGAAAGACCTGGTTATAGAACCTCACTGACTGGACAGGCCTCAGGCATGCAAGCATGAAGTCAATCGCAACTGACCGCCAATGGAAAGAGCTGATCATACAGTCAACAGAAACTGATGACCCAACGACACGTAGTGTTACGGGTGGATGATGATGATTGTTTATTATGATGAGGAGAATAAGGAGGAGAAGGAGGACAGCTCAAAAGTACAGATTTGTGTACAAGACTATGACATTTCATAAGTACAGACATGTGTACAAATGTTGGACAGTTCAGGTTTCACATCCATGTGTACAAGACTAAGACAGCTCAGGTGGCACATCCATGTGTACAAGCCTAAGACAGCTCAGGTGGCACAGACATGTGTACAAGACTAGGACAGCTCAGTTAGCACAGGCATGTGTACAAGACAAAGACAGCTCAGGTGGCACAGTCATAAGTACAAGACTAGGACAGCTCAGGTGGCACAGATGTGTGTACAAGACTAAGACAGCTCAGTTGGCACAGACATGTGTACAATACTAAGACAGCTCAGTTGGCACAGACATGTGTACAAGACTAAGACAGCTCAGGTGGCACAGACATGTGTACAAGACTAAGACAGCCCAGGTGGCACAGACATGTGTACAAGACTAGGACAGCTCAGGTGGCACAGACATGTGTACAAGGCTAGGACAGCTCAGGTGGCACAGACATTTGTACAAGATTAGGACAGCTCAGTTAGCACAAACATGTGTACAAGACTAAGACAGCTCTGGTGGCACAGACATATGTACAAGACTAGGACAGCTCAGGTGGCACAGACATGTGTACAATACTAAGACCGCTCAGGTGACACAGACATGTGTACAATACTAAGATCGCTCAGGTGGCACAGACATGTGTACAAGACTAGGACAGCTCAGGTGGCACAGACATGTGTACAATACTAAGACCGCTCAGGTGACACAGACATGTGTACAATACTAAGATCGCTCAGGTGGCACAGACATGTGTACAATACTAAGACAGCTCAGGTGGCACAGACATGTGTACAATACTAAGACAGCTCAGGTGGCACAGACATGTGTACAAAACTAGGACAGCTCAGGTGGCACAGACATATGTACAAGACTAGGACAGCTCAGGTGGCACAGACATGTGTACAATACTAAGACAGCTCAGGTGGTACAGACATGTGTACAATACTAAGACAGCTCAGGTGGCACAGACATGTGTACAATACTAAGACAGCTCAGGTGGCACAGACATGTGTACAAAACTAGGACAGCTCAGGTGGCACAGACATATGTACAAGACTAGGACAGCTCAGGTGGCACAGACATGTGTACAAAACTAGGACAGCCCAGGTGGCACAGACACCGTGTACACTAGCCTCCTGTGTGGTCAGTTTGTGGATGTTATCATTTCCGATCCAGAAACCGGTGTAAAGATCCCCAAAGCCGTTCTTGTATTCTGTCCAGTTTCTGAAGAAGCTGATGTCACCGTTGCTGCGTCTCTGAAGTGGATATATATATATATATATATATATATATATATATATATATATATATATATATATATATATATATATATAAACAGTGTGTGAGAGGTAAATATAGTGGTTGGGCGCGATTTGGACATACACAAGCACATACTCAGACGCACCGAAATAATTAGGGACAGAGAGAGAGAGAGAGAGAGAGAGGGAGAGAGAGAGAGACAGAGAGAGAGAGAGAGAGAGAGAGAGAGAGAGAGATTTAATAAGCGATATCACGCTCTAAAAATGTCTGATGAACACTTAAATATTTTAATGCAGAGTTTGAATAGAATCCTGGCACAAATATGCACTGAATACTTGAGCAGACATACATGAAAACACAACAACACATACACGCACACAAGGACACACACACACACATACATGGACACACACATACATGGACAAACACAAACATGCATGGACATACACACACACGCCCACACATACATGGACACACACACACATATACATGGGCGCACACACACACACACACACACACATATATATATATATATATATATATATATATATATATATATATATATATATATATATATATACATGGACACACACATATTCAGGGACACACACAAATACAAATGGGCATGTGCAGGCACATATAGGCACACATAATCACACCCTGAAACATTGAAACACATATACACGGACATAGAGGGACACATGTAAACGCATATGGGTATAAATGCAGAAACAGGGACCTAGGTGTTGTTTGCTGCCTTCAGGACAGGAACATGACGGGAGGCCATGAACTATTGTTGAACACACTGACTTATAAGGAATGGCATCAGGAACCAAACTAGATGGCAAGGCACATGATGATAATTATGACACGAGTAGACCGTTTTCTCGGGGTGGTAATACTAGCAGTTAAGTGTAGGTACACACACACACACACAGAGAGAAAGAAAGAGAGAGAGAGAGGGGGGGGGGCAAACGACATCGATGATGGATTGTGAGATACGTGTAGAAGGGCTGAAAACCCGACTAGCTGGAGTTGATAGCTTCTTTTCAAAGAGAGACAGACGAAAGGACGAGTAGATGTATACAAGGATTGACAGCCGAGCGTCGGAAAGAATACCTGTATTGTGACCCACCCGCCGCCGTCCGTGGTTGTGTCACACAGTGTGGAAACGTTTCCCCAGAGAAGAATCTCTTGTGGCTCACTTGTCTGAGGCTGTCCTTTCCTGCAGCTTATCTGCACAACAACAATTCATTGAAAGATTTGTCAAGTTGACTTGATCCTAGCTCTTCCCTTCACTGTCCCTTATACTCTATGACCTATGTATTAGACCACTCTCTGAAGATCTCAGAACACCTCACGGTTTGTTTTATGATGTACACGGCAGAACTGTATGGACCCTGACATCTGCATTTGAAGCTATGTGACCCTGCCATACATTTTTGACAAATGTTCCTTATTTGTGTATTTAGTTGTTTGATAAAGGTTTTTTCTTCTTCGGCTTCTTCTTAATCTGCCTTTTATGCCCCAGTGGAGCATAGGATTTCACCCAACTCAAGCCAAGGAGTCGTGTGGCACAGCTGTCTCCTTCGCTGCATATGTCGTTGTGACACCCAGGTTCGTGCTTAAGTTGCCACAAGGGTAGCCGATATATGAACATAGACCAAGAAAGGGGTGGTAGTGTCAATAGTGGTGGTGATGATGATAATGTCTTGCTAGCCGCATGCTTCCCACTCAACTCGGAGACTTGTATACAGAATCGTCTAAAAACAACTGTTCTGGTCTGAAATCTTTATTGTCGTACATCAACAATGTTACAAAATAACATCAACGATATTCTGAAAGGCACTTCGTTCTCTCTATAGTTACATACTGTTCAGGGCACGTTGTGTTCTTACTCTTGTTACTTTGTTAACTGGTTCTAGTGTCTCAACTGCCACCGGGCTCCTAATGCGGGTTGGTCTAGAGAGTTTTCATTTTTCCTTTTTAAATACGACAGGGGATCTCCGTGAAGTCTGGCCTCTGTATAGTTTTATTTTATTGTGCTCTTGCTTCTTCTTCTTCCTAGTCTGACCCCGAGTCAGTGTCCACTCCCGAATCTGGCTGGGCCCATGGTGGGTTAAAATAAATGTCAAATTGCCTTACTGACAAAGTGTGCACGCGCTCTATTCTGTTTTCATATGTAAATACAATTGTTAAGTCATGAACAGGTCCACGCCTTCTAACGTAGATTTTTATGGAGTACATCAGTTTCAGGAAAACAACGAAAAGGACTCTATTTGTCTTCTTAACTATAATTTCTAATTAACCTGCCCTCAAGCCTGACTTCCTTTCCTGTTCTGCTGGCTGGCGCTTCTCTCCTCTCCTACGGGGTCCGGGTAGTCGCTTATATAGGTGCTACTAGCCTGCTCCCAGAACCTCCCAGCCCATGTTTTGCAGAGTCTACTGCGACTTTAGCTAGCCGGGTCAATGAAAGTATTCCAACAATGTGAAAAACAAATTATTGTTTGGTGCTGGACGGGGGAGTCACGTTATGTCTAGACAGACGGCTGGAAGTATCGTGGGAACCGAGGACAGGGACCTATGTACTAAGCTCAGTGAAAAAGGTTCCAAAAAACAAGGGTGAAGGCCTGTTGTGCAGACAGCACAACATTAAAACGCAGTATGGGTAGTGACCCTGTTACAGTCGTATTCTTTCCTATGGCTTGAAGCTAAGTCCATGTCCTCCCCGTATTTTTAAACCTCGCTATCTAGCTCCCTTCTTCATGCATTGGTTTGTCGACCTTTATTTATATGGCCATGTGGGTTCCGGTGCAAAGCAATTCTAGTTATATTACTCTCGCGTGTTTCCAAAGAGTGGCATGTCCAACGCTTTGGTGTTTTTGTCTTTAACTCTTGATCTGCTAGAATGTATTTAGTTCCCTCCCAGTATTCTACATTAATGATTCTATCATAACATTGTATGTGTTCATTTGATGCAACTGTGCGAGCTTCATTTCGACACGCTGGAGTTGACTACAGAGAAAGGAAGACTGTGAGCAATGACAAGTGATGACAGTTGGGTGTCTTTAATGTCAGTGTGTTTCTGACCACTACGGCTGACCGTAAGTAGTGCTCTTAGAGCTGCTGACTACGTGAGGAAGATCTTAATGCCGGGTAAATAACCCCTAGAGAAGATAGAGAGACTGAAGACTGGTCGACAGAGTCTGAGGACTGGTTGACAGTATGCAGCAAGGTTGACTAAAGATCAGTGTTTGTAATAAACTGTCAAGCTGTCAACGCCTCACAGTGTTGTCTTAGGGTGTCCAGGTGGGAGTGTTTCATTGACACATTGTGCAAATAGACGCACACACGCAGAGAATATATGTATCCCTTTTTCTTAGTCTTTCCTCGGATCAATGTTTCCTGCTTTGCACCATCAACGATTATCTTAAGCTGCTCCCTCGCAAGCCTCTATAGACATTACTCAAAGATATTACCTCTGCTGCAACTGTCCCTGAGTTAGCCTCACTACTGGTCTTTTAGGACACCTGCTCTGGGGGGGGGGGGGGGGCTGTGTCTGGCTCCTCACTTCAATGCCCGTTTGTGCTGTCTTGTCGTTTGTAGCCAGGAAGCAAACTCGACGTTTGGTGGAACCATTTGAGACATCATAGCGCCCACCTCCAACATACCGTCATCGAACTGACAATCAACTTGATATTTGACAACCCTAGTTCAACTCCCCGAACTGTGTCAAGTTCAGGGAGTTTGTATTTTCTACAGACGACCTGACGGCACAACCGCTAAGGCTAAGGACAATATGTATCTATGGCCACATATTTGGATCTCCTGCAGCGTTTATGTTGAGACTTTAGGGTTAGGTAGCTCTTTAGTTCTTTGTTTACAAGATTCCGAGTGTTTCCTATTTTATTTGAAGGCAGGAATATTTTTTTCATGTTTTAAATATATTGGAATTTTTAAAAATTTAAAAATAAAAAAAAAAAATTACAAAAAAAAAATAATTTCAGACAAATCTGACCTCAGCATCATCGGAGTGTTTTGCAAGTTTCCGGGAAAACTTCGCAAAAATAAGATCTATTTGTTTTTTCAGTTCAATAATGTTGCCATCAGAACAGTCCGTCTCGTTGGTGGTTTGGGCTGAAAAGAACATCAAAGAGAACGGAGGAACAGTTTTACAAGTATATCAGCACATGTAAAAGAGATCAAGGAATGTTTCATTCTTCCGTCAACGAGCATGCCCATAAAACATCCTGGATACAACCACCAGTGGAACTACATGTCACAGAAACAAGTATCTGTCCGCACCTCTCCCATCAAGTCCAAAACGATAGGTTTCACAGAGAGTCATTTCAAAGACAAAGGTCGCTTTTTTTTTCTCTTATTTCTTACAAACGGAAATACAACACCATCTAACGGACATTTAAGGTGAAATGTCGCTGGAGTAGACTAGCAGAAGTTGTTACAGTATGGCAGTGTGAGGAATAATAACGTTTGGTTCGTCTTACAGTAGGATAGTGAGAAGAAAGTAACGTTTGATACGTCTTACAGTATGATAGTGACAGGAATAACTTTTAAAACATGTTACAGTATGAGAGGTGAAAAAATAACGTGAAATGCGTAATACAGTTTGAAGGTGTAAGGAATAACAACGTTTAATACGTGTTTCAGTATGATAATGTGAAACATAACAACTTTTAATACGTGTTACAGTATGACAGAGTGAGGAATAACAACGTTTAATACGCGTTACATTATGATAGTGTGAGGAATAACAACGTTTAATACATCTTACATTATGACAGTGTGAGGAATAACAACGTTTAATAGATGTTACATTATGATAGTGTGAGGAATAACACGTTTAATACATGTTACATTATGATAATGTGAGGAATAACAACGTTTAATGTTACATTATGATAGTGTGAGAAATAACAACGCTCAATACGTGTTACAGTATGATAGTGTGAGAAAAAACAAGTTTTATTACCTGTTTCAGTACGATGGTGTGAGAAAATGTTGTATGTTTTAATGGAAGATTATACAGTAAGTTAATTTTGATGTTAAGACTGGTAAATCATTGATTGAATTGATGTTATAACCGGCATATGTGTTTCGATGTTGTAAACGGTAAATGGTGGATTGTGTTTATGTTGATGTTATAAGCGGCAAATGCGAGATTATGTTTATGTTGATGTTCTAACTGTTCAATGGTGGATTATGATTATGTTGATGTTGGAAGCGGCAAACGCGAGATTATGTTAATATTGATGTTCTAATTGTTAAATGGTGGAGTATGTTTATGTTGATGTTATAACTGATGAATGGTGAATTATGTTTGTGTTGATGTTATAAGCGGCAAACGCGAAATTATGTTTATATTGATGTTCTAACTGGTTCATGGTGGAATATGTTTATGTTGATAAATTATAACTGGTACATGGTGGATTATGTTTATATTGATGTTCTAACTGATGAATGGTTGATTAGGTTTATATTGATGTTCAAACTGATGAATGGTGAATTATGTTTATGTTGATGTTATAACTGGTAAATTGTGGACTAGGATTTAACTGATCTTATAACAGATAAATAATGGATTATTTTTAATAACTGGTGAATAATAGGTTATGTTTATCTTCTTCTTCTTCTACTACTACTTTTCTCTTCTCCTGGAATTTCTCTCAGCATCAGAGCAGGAAGAGATCTCTGGAACGGGCCCTTCTGTTCGCGTCGTATAAAGTACTTTTCAGCGTCTCTGATACTTCTACGGCCCATTTCTGCGTGGTCGACCTCTGGTTCTGTTAACTCTGTTTTTTTTTTTTTTTGTTGATGTTAAAACCGGCAAATGAAGGATCCTGTTTACACCAGAGAGTTGATCCACACACGGGGGTTCTGTTGATTGCTCCTGTGGGACTCTGGTGATGCCACGTCAGCAGATTGTGTGACCGAATTTTGATGATCACCTGTCATGTGTTTGTAATCCTATAGACTTGTCTTTATTTTTTCCCTCTCTTGGTGTGTAGCATCTCTTGTCTAACTTTACCAGTAAGTACTGTCTATGGTTGCCTGTTCTAAAATATCAAATCAAAGCAGAATGCCCCCCCCCCCCCCATCCTCTTCCCCCAAATATTATGTCACAACTAAAGCGAACAGGAAACAAATACTAATGGGTACTGTGTCTCCAAAACACACGAACACAAGCAGAATGAAGCTGTGTGAGTCACAAGTAAAAATGAAGTTGTACGAGTCACAGGAAAAAAAAAGAAGCAGTTAGTTATGAGTTAGATTATCTCCACAGCAAAAAGCGAAACATTAATGTTTGTGTCACATCTAAAAGCGCTCAGACTCCCCTCTCAACATATTCATCGTGCAGTAAATAGTACCAGTCCTATGTTGGTTAACAAGACTTCGTGTTCATTCGGTGTACTTCTCATGCTTGGCTGTGCCGATCTTTACTCGTAATTCGCGTATTTTTAGCATGACGTGGACACGTTGCTTCTAAAATTCTCAGAACGTCCATCTCTCTAAGAGCACTGAAAATGTCTGCGTGATCCATGGGCCGGCCATCAATTAATGCAGCACCCGCCAGTCTATCAGCTCTCTCTTTACCAACAACGCCTGCATGACCTAGGACGAAAATGAAGGTAACTGCCCACACAGGAGAGTTTTGCAGTGACTTAAACCACTGTCTGCGTATCCAGCCTGCCTCGACCCGCCAGATCATGCTTAAAGAATCACTAAGCACACACACACGGAAATAGTCCTGTGATCTCAACCACATGAAAGCTTGTGTCACCGCCATCACATCCATCGCCATGCTACTGGTGGTCATGGAGAAGGCACCGCTGTGTGAGTCACAAGCTAAATGAGGCTGTGCGAGTCACAAACAAAGTGAAGCTGTGCGAGTCACAAGCTAAATGAAGCTGTGTGAGTCACAAGCTAAAAAAAGCTGTGCGAGTCACAATCAAAATGAAGCTGTGCGAGTCACAAGCAAAGTTAGGCAGTGCAAGTCACAAGCTAAATGAAGCTGTGCAAGTCACAAGCTAAATGAAGCTGTGCGAGTCACAAGCAAAGTTAGGCAGTGCAAGTCACAAGCTAAATGAGACTGTGCGAGTCACAAGCAAAGTGAATCTGTGCGAGTAACAAGCTAAATGAAGCTGTGTGAGTCACAAGCTAAATGAAGCTGTGCGAGTCACAAACAAAATGAAGCTGTGCGAGTCACAAGCAACATTAAGCTGTGCAAGTCACAAGCTAAATGAAGCTGTGTGAGTTACAAGCAAAATTAGGCTGTGCGAGTCACAAGCTAAATGAAGCTGTGCGAGTCATAAGCTAAATGAAGCTGTGCGAGTCATAAGCTAAATGAAATTGTGTGAGTCACAAGCAAAGTGAAGAAAGCTAAATGAAGCTGTGAGTCACAAGAGAAGCTGTGCGAGTCACAAAACAAAATGAAGCTGTGCGAGTCAAGTCACAAGCTAAATGAAGCTGTGTGAGTTACAAGCAAAATTAAGCTGTGCGAGTCACAAGCTAAATGAAGCTGTGCGAGTCATAAGCTAAATGAAGCTGTGCGAGTCATAAGCTAAATGAAATTGTGTGAGTCACAAGCAAAGTGAAGCTGTGTGAGTAACACGCTAAATGAAGCTGTGTGAGTCACAAGCTAAATGAAGCTGTGCGAGTCACGAGCAAAGTGAAGCTGTGTGAGCAACAAGCTAAATGAAGTTGTTCGAGTCACGAGCAAAATTAAGCTGTGCAAGTCAAAAGCTCAATGAAGCTGTGTGAGTAACATGCTAAATGAAGCTCTGCGAGTCCTAAGCTAAATGAAATTGTGTGAGTCACAAGCAACATTAAGCTGTGCGAGTCACAAGCAAAATGAAGCTGTGTGAGTCACAAGCTAAATGAAGCTGTGTGAGTCACAAGCTAAATGAAGCTGTGTGAGTCACAAGCAAAATGAAGATGTGCGAGTCACTGTGTGAGCAAAGAAGATGTGCGAGTAACAAGCTAAATGAAGCTGAAGCTGTCACAAGTGAGCAACAAGCTAAATGAAGTTGTGCGAGTCACGAGCAAAATTAAGCTGTGCAAGTCAAAAGCTCAATGAAGCTGTGTGAGTTACAAGCAAAATGAAGCTCTGCGAGTCCCAAGCTAAATGAAGCTGTGCGAGTCATAAGCTAAATGAAATTGTGTGAGTCACAAGCAAAATGAAGCTGTGCGAGTCACAAGCAAAATGAAGCTGTGTGAGTCACACGCTAAAGGAAGCTGTGTGAGTCACAAGCTAAATGAAGCTGTGTGAGTCACAAGCAAAATGAAGCTGTGCGAGTAACAAGCTCGATGAAGCTGTGTGAGTCACAAGCAAAATGAAGATGTGCGAGTAACAAGCTAAATGAAGCTGTGTGAGTCACAAGCTAAATGAAGCTGTGTGAGTCACAAGCTAAATGAAGCTGTGTGAGTCACAAGCTAAATGAAGCTGTGCGAGTCACAAGCTAAATGAAGCTGTGCGAGTCATAAGCTAAATGAAATTGTGTGAGTCACAAGCAAAATGAAGCTGTGCGAGTCACAAGCAAAGTGAAGCTGTGTGAGTAACAAGCTAAATGAAGCTGTGTGAGTCACAATCAAAATGAAGCTGTGCGAGTCACAAGCAAAATTAAGCTGTGCAAGTCACAAGCTAAATGAAGCTGTGTTAGTTAAAAGCAAAATGAAGCTCTGCGAGTCACAAGCTAAATGAAGCTGTGCGAGTCATAAGCTAAATGAAATTGTGTGAGTCACAAGCAAAATGAAGCTGTGTGAGTCACAAGCTAAAGGAAGCTGTGTGAGTCACAAGCAAAATGAAGATGTGCGAGTCACAAGCTAAATGAAGCAGTGTGATTCACAAGCTTAATGAAGCTGTGTGAGTCACAAGCAAAATGAAGCTGTGCGAGTCACAAGCAAAATGAAGCTGTGCGAGTCACAAGCAGAATGAAGCTGCGCAAGTTACAAGCAAAATGAAGCTGTGTGAGTCATTGTGGAACGTCCACGGGGCATTAAACACATTGCATATTGCATATATCAACACTTGACATACATGGAGGAAAACAAAAGTGAATCGGAAGGCACTATAATTCATACAGCAGCTAGAAAACGTTATGTTTTGTCATGTATGTGTAATTTGTGGGGTAAAATTATTGCTCCATGACTGACTACCCCACCAGGACATCACACAAGCGATAAACACCCGATGACACAAAGTGCCACCATGCGGATGAGGATCACTGTGGAGAGGTCCCAGAAACCGCGTTCAGACAATTGGCCATATTGATGGCCTGCCTATATTGCGGCCCCTGGCAAAAGCCAGAGTGGGGCTTCAAATAACAAAAAATTACGTCCTCAGAAGTACGTAAGGAATATTGCTCCATGTAGATGAGCATAACGTCTAAAGCGTAGCTCTAGATACAAGTTTTTAGTTAATTATTTCTAAAATATAACGCTGAATTTATGTGCCAATTGTCAATAAGGCATTTTTATTAGTTTTTTGATATTTCCTTCCGTCATGATGAGTACAAATTCAGCCATGTTCAGCACAAAGTTTAACATTTTCAGCAAATACGAATGAAAATAGGTTGCTTTTAGCCCAAAACATTAATGTTTCCTTAAATTTGTAACCAGTGTGTACCTAGAGATAGCATTGTTTCCAGAAGATTTAACTTTGTAAGTTTAACCTGTCTTCAAATGGCAACTGGCAGGGGACACCTTCTGAATGAGACTTTAGAAGTGAGCAAGGGGGGATTGGCCGAAAGAGGTGGCTCTTGGTGGAACAGGCACAAGTCACTATAAGAAATGTTTGTACTACTGATACCATATTATTTGGCGAGGAATGCAACACAGCGTCGTCCAGCAAAACAGACTTGCACTGAGTGACAAAGGCTTTGGACCGAGGATGCCAGGAATGGACAACTGGTGAAACACAGACAGTGGTGCGAGAGCTGACCAATGAAAGTAAACGCCCAGGGGACATCATTACATGTACGGATAAGCCTGTAGTGAGAGGTAAGAAGAATGGTTGGGGTTTTATTGCAGAGGTGAATGTACAGTGTTAAAAAACAAAGAGCCTCCCATACAACGTCCCTACATCGAGCATGAGAATGGAGGGGGAGGCAGTAACGATAGCTAACTGGTAGCTTGAGAGCAGCACAGCCCGACATGTTATGGTTGTAACAGACTCACAGAGCATGCTTTGGAGAATTGAAACTGGCATCCTGTGCGCAGAGCGGCTTGCATCACATGATAACACCCAGATCAAGAGCAAATTATGGTTTTTCTGTAGAGGAGATTCAGGTGTGAGAGGCAGCGAGCAGGCTCATAAATTAGCTGCTTGCCGTCCATCTGGGTGATGACCTGCTTGTTAAGCTACTTTATGATAAAGCGGACGTGGTGAAGGCCTTCTATGATCAGATGGACAGTGCAATAGAAGAGACACAGAATTCAAGAGAAGAATTATGCAGAGAGTAAGTAGAGGTTCTGAAAGATATTTAACACTGAAGGTCGGTAGGTAATTGTACTCCACAAGGACATCACACAAGAGATAAACACCCGGTGACACAAAGTGCTACCATACGGAATGACGATCGCTGGTAGAAAGGTCACCGGAAACCCCGCTCAGCTGTTAGGCCATATTTGAGGCCCGGCTATATTTAGGGCTCCCGGCAAAAGCCAGGGTTGGGGCTTCAAAATAACTAAAAATTGCATCGAACAGGAGGATGATGGTGTTTTCAAACACTAAGGGGAAAAAAGACGCAGATTTTTTAATCATGTTGCAACTGTTAAGAAACACTGGACAATCTGTCTTACCTACGGCGACAATGAGCAGTCTCGCAAGAAAGCAGAGGAGGGCGATCCTAGACCAGCGTTGCATGACTTCTAGGAGACAATTGACGAGGCACCTGAAAGTAGCAGACACACAGGTGTACGTACACTCGGTTAGTTGGCATAGATGAGAGACACACTCACATATGCTGCCAAAATCTAACTTCAGTCACGCCACATCTACCCGGCAATTAAACGTTGCGATCATCGCTACGTGGCCGGTGGCGCACACGTAGACTACTGTGTAGTCTTCTTCTTCTTCTGCCTTTCTAGCCCCCAATGGAGCATAGGCCCTCAACCAACTCAAGCCAAGTCGTTCTATCCTTCGCTATCGCATGCAGCTCTTTCCATGTCCAACCCATCTTTCTAACTTCATTCTCCAGCTTTCTTCTCTATGTGTGTTTTTTTTTTTTAAGACTTCCTTTATTCCTATGCCCCTGTGGGTTCCAATGCAAAGACATTTTAGTTATGCTGTACTCTGATATTCTCAAAGTGTGTCCTATCCAAAGCCAGCGTCTTTTCCTCACCTCTTGGTTCACTTGGGCTTGCTTAGTTTTCTCCCAAAGCGAACACAACTTTTTAGTACTGACACAAAAAATTTCATCGCGTTTTTTTTTTTTTTTTTAAATCTTAAAATTGTATATTAGCTTAATGATTTTAAAAAATTAAAAGTATTATCTGTCTCTCACAAAGAAGACTCAAACAGCAGTGGCAGCGTGCGTTGACTGTGGTGAGACATCTAGCAATAGCTGCAGTGAAACGAAACATGACCGTTTGGATCGAAAAGTAGAAAAGGGAACGAGGTTGCGAGAGAAAGAGAGAGAGAGGGGGGGGGAGAGAGAGAGTTAAACACACAGAGACAGAGAGACAGAGGAAGAAAGAAAATTACATACATACATACATACATACATACATACATACATACAGACAGACAGACAGACAGACAGACAGACAGACAGACAGACAGACAGACAGACAGACAGACAGACAGACAGACAGACAGACAGACAGACAGACAGACAGACAGACAGACAGACAGACAGACAGACAGACAGACAGATAGACACGCACACGCACGCACACACATACATTCATTTTTTAATTCATACATATATTTTCATACAAACTCCGTATTTTACGTTGCATCTTCTGTGTAATGTTTTTTTTTTTTCGTTTATTGTATGTTTTTCGTTTATTGTATGTTTTTCGTTTATTGTGTGTTTTTCGTTTATTGTATGTTGAAAAAGATACTGATGGAAACGTTCATCTGCGTCCCTGTATGTGTCTTCTCCTTTCCGCGTTGGAGTTTCTAATCTCCGTTTGTATTGTATTTATTTGTGTCGTCATGTCAGCTTGACTGTTGTCTTCTCTATTGTTGTCGTCATGTCAGCTTGACTGTTGTCTTCTCTATTGTTGTCGTCATGTCAGCTTGACTGTTGTCTTCTCTATTGTTGTCGTCATGTCAGCTTGACTGTTGTCTTCTCTATTGTTGTCGTCATGTCAGCTTGACTGTTGTCTTCTCTATTGTTGTCGTCATGTCAGCTTATTGTATGTTTCTCTATTGTTGTCGTCAGTCATCTTGCTTGACTGTTGTCTTCTCTATTGTTGTCGTCATGTCAGCTTGACTGTTGTCTTCTCTATTGTTGTCGTCATGTCAGCTTGACTGTTGTCTTCTCTATTGTTTTCCTTACTATTAAAAGAATTAAATACTTGGGTAGTGTATTGCGCCATAGTCTTCTCAGACAATGAAGAAACCATTTTTAAGAATTACTGTTTAGCTTAACAATGTACGTATAAGCTAAGCTAATGTTTACAGCAGTAAAGTATATATGACTGTGTATTGATTGCACGGTGTTGTTGTAATAGAGTAGACGTGGTCGATATTAAATCACTGGAGCTGTTGTATCGTCAGTGCCACGTCTACGACCGTGGAGTTGTTCTACTTTACAGTGACGATATTTCAGTGTGGTCGGTTGGCATCGTCTCCTTAGACGCCATGCATCGTTCAGCCAAAGTTCTCCTCATCTGCTACACACTGGGACTCGCGGTTAGTGATCCAGGTATGGCAGGCTTTTTTTTTTTTTTTTTTTTTTTTTTTCGCCGAGATTTGTGAAACAAAATAGTTTCTTTTTTAAGGAATTTTTTTTTCCCTCTACCGCGCTCGCCCTTAGATGAGCGGTTGTAACATTGAGTTCTGATTTCCAGCTAGGCTGTGATATCTGTGCTTTTAAACCCAAAGTTTCGGATTTCAACAAATCCCTGATTAGGTGCACTTGATGACATGCCTGTTAAGCAACAGTAGGTTTATATTTCTTTCACAAAACACAGG